ATGGAATGCACTTTTGAGACAGGAGCAAAAGTATCATCTTTTGCACATGAAAAATGTGTAATTACATTGAGCTTGACAGAATGTATAATTGCGGTTCCTACTATTTTAATTCATGTACTACGAAGAAGTGAATGAACGCAGATGCGACTTATAAGTAATTATTGGGAGAGTTGAATGGTATAATTTAGGTCACCTAACTGCTACACGAAATTATGTAGTCTTAAAAGATTTAAAAGTAGATCGAGACCACAATTGTTTGAAAATGATTTTTCTGTAATGATAAAGATGGTGATGTAAAGTTCTATTGTAGACCTTGTTTTGGAGGTAACATCACAATGAGAATTACTGCAGAAGATTGTCTAATTTACTTAAAAATGAAGCACTTTGCTGGAGTAAATTTAAGGGAACTAACACATTTGGTTCAGAAACAAGAGGCATCTTTCTGCTTCCTTTACAAGATTGTGTAATTTTGAAGAAAAGAAAGACAAATTATTGAATAAATGCCTTTGATACTGCATATGATGCAGTGTCCAGAACTCATATGTGGTTCACCTGTTTCTATTTTCTATAGTTATCCCTATCAAAATTCCCCTTTGCAGAACTAGCCTTGTATTTTTTTTTTTTATAGTGTTTTGGGACATGAATTTATTTGCCTATTTGGTACCATTCACTTTGATAAAGAGGAAGTCAATTCCTGAAATTCAAAACTCCATCTTTATGCATCTCCTTTATTTGGTCCCTATGTTATCAGCTTTCTCTGTGATTATTGCAGATATCAAGGTTAATCTTCACAAATTCAGGTAGTGCTATTTTGGCATTAGCATCAAATGCTATTCACTTGCTTTGGAAGTGGCAACGAAGTGATCGTAATCCAAATGGCAAGGTACAAGGTTATCATAATGGTTTCCACTCATCATTTGTGAACTTTTTTTTCTTAATAAAGAGAATACTTTGAAATGACTCATACTGTAATTTTATATTGTTGCTTCATTTTGTAGGCAACTGCCAGTGTACCACCTCAGTTGTGGCAACCATCAAGTGGCATTCTTATGACAAATGATGTTATTGATACAAATCCTGAAGAAGCTGTACCTTGTTTTGCATTATCCAAGAATGATTCTTACGTAATGTCAGCATCTGGAGGAAAGATTTCCTTGTTTAATATGATGACATTTAAGGTAACCCATGAATGATGGTTCTTTTTCTATTCCCATTTAGAATTGTAACAAGAAAAATCTTCCTTGCACCCTGTCTCCCTCTGTTTGCCAATGATTTGAATAACTTATGACATTTTTATGGACACATGCAGACAATGGCAACTTTCATGCCACCACCACCAGCAGCGACTTTTCTTGCATTCCACCCACAAGATAATAATATTATTGCTATAGGCATGGATGATTCAACAATTCAGATATATAATGTCCGTGTGGATGAGGTATGATGCATCTTTGGAGAATTATTTATGTCACTCTCGATTGAAGTAGCACTCTTTATTTATTCACCATTTTCATCATCCAGGTGAAGAGTAAACTTAAAGGCCACTCTAAAAGAATAACTGGCCTTGCCTTCTCTCATGTACTGAATGTGCTTGTCTCATCAGGAGCAGATTCTCAGGTATTTCTTTTTCTATTTTACTTGCATGCTACGATGACTAAGCTTCTTCTGAGATTTAATCTGCTTCATAATAACTTGGTCATTGTCTAACACTGCAAATAGTTTGCAAAATTTCTGACTTTTTATATGACAATGTCTTGTCTGCTTTATCCTATATGAAGAATTTATTGCTACTTCTGGATTTCTTAGCTAATTAATCAATCTCGGAAGTTGAAGTATTATCATCAATGAAAAAAATTTGCTTTTGGTTCATTGATCACATTGCCATTCTTTCTCCAGCTTTGTGTATGGAACACTGATGGATGGGAAAAGCAGAAGGCTAGATTCTTGCAGGTTCCATCTGGGAGGCCACCAACAGCACAATCAGACACAAGAGTACAATTCCATCAAGACCAGTTACATTTTCTTGTTGTACATGAGACTCAGCTTGCCATATATGAAACAACAAAGCTAGAATGTGTGAAGCAGGTACCTCTTTATTGCTGTTTGATTTGTTGTTGAAGAACATTATCATGTGATGTTCTAATATTATTTTTCTCTTGTTTAGTGGGTCCCACGTGAATCCTCTGCTCCAATAACTCATGCAACGTTCTCATGTGATAGCCAACTGGTATATGCCAGCTTTTTAGATGCAACTGTTTGTGTGTTTACTGCTGCAAACCTCAGACTACGTTGTCGAATAAATCCTTCTGCTTATCTTCCAGCTAGTGTCAGGTATTTTCCCTATCTCCTTGACTCAGTTATTTGGGTTTCATCTGGCTAGACGGTGTCTTATAAGGTTCAAGCACAAATTTTGGGTACAATTGATAAGGACCTGCACACTTTGAAGCACTTGATTGGGAACATTGTAGTTTTAAATTACAAAAAACTTATACTGTTGGAAGACGAGTATGCATACATGTTCCAATTGCAAGCTCCGCTATAATAGATTATCTTTGTCTTTTGTTCTCTCTCTCTCTCTTGCTCTCTCTGGTATTAGTGATATGGTGAATGGCAGATAATCGATGATTTCTGATTGTAATTCATGTGCAACTTTTATTTGCATCTCAGTTTTACTAGTTCTCATTTGAATTTACACTCCCCATCTGTGATAACCATTCCTATTCAAAGATAGTCTTTTCCTCTATGTTGCAGTTCCAATGTTCACCCACTTGTAATTGCTGCACATCCATCTGAGCCAAATGAATTTGCATTGGGACTCTCAGATGGTGGGGTTCATGTCTTTGAGCCCCTTGAATCTGAAAACAAATGGGGTGTGCCTCCACCAGTTGAAAATGGGTCAGCTAGCAGTATGGTAGCAACAACTTCAGTTGGAGCTCCAGGATCAGAACAAGCCCAGAGATGAAATGGTTGACAGAGCACAAGTTCTTTTATATGCTTGGCTTGCATGCCCATCCTTAATTTAGGTATGCTTTCCCAGTGTCTAATTTGTTAAGAACATTATTGATGAAAGAGAGACATTTGATGGTGCTAGTTAGAGCAGCCGGATAAACCCATTTGGTTTTCCAGTTGAGCAACCGAAAGGCAGCAGTGCCTAATTGATAATGTCAGTTACAAATCTCATTGAATTTTATTGTGTTTTCATTCTGTCAAACAATTATGAGCTACGAATTTTAGTTAGTTAAACCACCCAACTCCTAGAAGCCTCTTTGTTACATTATCTAGAATATATCAGCCTATCCTTGGACCTTGATATAAAATTGATTTGCCACTTGTTTTCGTTGCTGATTTCTCCTTATTTACCCATTTTTTTTCCTTTTAAAATTTGCAGCTTGACAATCAAGATATGTGATCTGAGAACAATATGCAAAGATGTAGGTTTAACATATCTTATGAGATACAATATAAGGTAAATGGCATAGTAGTATTTGATAGTTGAAGTGTTTTCTTATGCCCTTTTTGGAGGGAAAAATTCTTAAAAAGGAATGATTTTCTGTGCTATTGTAGTTGTTCATCTTCTTATATTACCCCTTTTTTTGTACTTTTTTCATAAATCACAATGTTCTTTTATGTATCACATTTGACATTTTTCAGAAACTATTGTTCTGATCTGTTTGTTGTCATCTGTGTTTAGCTGATGGACGTAATTCAAAATTTATTTTCTTTTCATTTTTTCACTCTCCTATCGATTCGATCGATATTCAACTCTACTAAGGACAACTTTAATGTTACTAAGGCTATTTAAAGATTAGAGGAAGAATGAGACAGATTTGGTATCTCATAAACATGACTTGTCTGATTTTAAGAATCACCGGACTTTGAAGTTGGAGTTTCAGGTCATAACAGTTTTAAATGTTTCCTTGAGATATCATCGGTATTAAATTGGTTTATAGCAGAAAAACCTTAAATTCGGTTGGTTTCTTAGATTTTCAGATGCAATGATATGTTATCAGGGTTGGGTTTTTTTAAATAATAAAAATTCCCATGCAGTTTATTCAAATTTTGAATGCTTATCCTGTATCCACCACATGAAAAAGGCAGTCTCAAAAATTTGGAGTTTCAAGTTTCAACTTTTAACCCTTGAGATGTCTTCTTGAAATCATACCAAAAGGGCTCATAAGAGGAGCTTTTCAAGATTAAAATAAAACGTCATTTTTTTCATTTCTTGCTTAATAAATGGACCTCTTCTTACTTTTTAAGTATAATATTTAGAGCTACTAAATTAAAAAGTGAAACTTTGAATGGTTCAAAAACATTTCTTTTTCTTTTATTGCTATTAGTTTGTCTTCTACGTGCGTTACTCTTATTAGCGGATGATATATAATATGTCAATATTACATTAATAAAAATCTTACTTTTCAATATAATAACTATAATAATAAATAATTTTTTAATGCTTTTGCATGATGAGAATTATTACGTCAAATAATTAAACTAATTTTGTTTGTTTAACTTTAATAAATGATTTTTGATGTTTAACGAGTAAAAGTAGCTTTAACACAGTTTCTTAGTTTTTTTTTCCTTTTGGCATATGTTGTAATTCTGTATATTAATTTCTTTTAGCTTTGAATTTCAATTATACATCACAATATTTAAAAAATAAGACGATATTTTTGTCAATGACAAATGTATCTTTGTACCAATTATTATGATTAGTTTGACTTAGGCTTAAGTTTTCAGTATGTCTAAAATAAAAAATTATAAAAAATAATATTGCTTGTTAAATTTTAATAAATAAATAATGAGATCTATTCATAACTGAAACATCAGTCAAAATTAATTTAACTAGAAAGATTAAAAAAAATTTGTGACATTCTTTTATCAACCAATAAAATTACTGGTTACATAATAAAGTCTCCTATCCATTTAAGTCAAACCATCAATTAATTATTGAAAAATTAAAAATGCTTTTAAGTCCTAAATTTCCACCAATTAATTAGGCAAAATTAAATTTAAAAGCACATGAAAGAGAAAGATCTTTGATTTAGGCTTTCCATAAGAAGCTTTAGTTCACCAGCTGGGTTTGAAAATTCAATCAGCTTCCAATCACACAAATGTACAAATACGTAGAACATCTGCTTAACCTTATAATAAATACAGATAGCAAGCAGCCCTCCCCTCTAATAAAAGCTATTTACAGAATATAACATTATTGGAATTACTCGGGGCGGAAGCTTACCAGATTAGGGAGGTCAGCTGACTGAAGCTTCTTGATATCATTGGCTGTGACCTTGCAGGACCCCAAGGTCAGACATTTCAAGTTCTTCAGTGGCTTTAAATGTCGCAATCCTGCACTTGTTATACGAGAATTCGAAACGTTCAAAGACACCAATCCTGTCAACCCTGCATTTAAATGTAGCAATCCTTACCAACCTCCCTTCAACAATCAACATAGGAAAATATAATAAGTGGAGGGTCAGAGCGAGGAATACCACCGATCATCTCCAATGTTTTATCTGTTAGGTTACAGTTCTGAGACAGATTTAGCAGCGCCAAGGATGAAAGATCTTTAATATTCTTCACGCCAGCATCGGTCAATCCTCCACCACATATTTCCAGTGACCGCAAGTTCTTGAAATCTATTTAAATAAACAAACAAACAATTCATTTTTAAAAAAGCAAACATATCAAGTAGTTCAAAAGCATTGAAACTATGTTAAATGGACTCTTCTATTTACCTTATCGCATGGGTATTACGATTGGAGCCTCAAAATTAATGTAAAAAATTAGCCAAAAACATAATGGTAACCATGTAGGATGCATACACCCTATTCCAAGTTCATGTACCATACGTCCAAAATTATCAATATGGTGTAGTAAGTATAAAAATTCTTCTTCTTAAAAGGAAATTCAAAATGCTAAGTGTAATATATCATACTTCGCAAGTAAATTGTCCCAGAATCAGTGATGCGAGCTCCAAAAAGATCAAGATGAGTCAGTCCAGTCAAACCTGTCTCAAGAAGAGAAGAAAATACGAGCAGTTAAATAAATTTACAAAGCTGATTATACTTATTATTATGCACATGGTTTAAGGTACAGCATCCTGAAGTGTTTGCTAAAGCTCAAAGAAGAGAGTTATATTCTTTGCTACTTGTTGAGAACCTTTAATTCGATAGAAACATATATTTCTTGTTGACAGGTTTTCAGACAATTAATTTGTTGACCAGAAACATGAGCACATTACTTCAAATCAATCATACTAGACAAATAAAACACCTATTCAAAGAATTTAATGAAGCATGAAAAGTTTTAGACAAATTTGCCTCGACAGTCCTTTTGTACAGTCTTACTTGTAAGAGCTGCAAGTCCAGCATCTGTGATTTGACGGACATCCAGATTAAGTGATTTAAGAGATGACAGTCCAGACAGTTTTCTCAAACCACCATCAGTAACAACAGTAAATGACAGGTTTATGCTCTCCAGATTACACAAACCTACAAAAAGTAGACCAATAAAAAATCAGATGATCATGTATAAGATTCATTAGATTGTGAAAGGAGGTATCATTCTCAATATGCATATTAAATGATTAAGTTCCTTAGACTACTAAATGAACAAGGTGACAGGTTTCTCTTTCGAGCATTAAAAACATACATATTCATGCCCAGTGTTCTTCTAAGGCAAAGAATTAGAAGTATTTTATGGTAAATATTTTTTAAAGTAGCATCACGCATGAGACTCCACAGCCCATAATAGCCCTAAGATACTTGCGCCACCAGATTTTAATATAATTCATCACTGCCAAGAACCTTTAGGATCTCACTGAACTGACTCGGTTAAGGTTCTTAATTTCTGAAAGTTCCCTACACTAGATAAACAGACCTATATCAGAAGGAAAATTATCTGAGCGTTGACAAGGCTTCCAAAGAAGGATACCAAATGGGAGCAACGGCAACAAAGAATCAACTCAACAGATGGAAACACGAGAGTTATAAGACAATTTTAAATACAAAACTGGAAACAGACTGTAACAAAAATAAACTGCAAACTATAGATGATATCATACTAAGAGAAAGGTGGATATCTAACCAGAAAGATGGCGAAGTCCATTGCTTCCAACTTCAGTATCAGACAACTCTAAACATTTCAAATGTCGAAGACCTAAACAAACAAAAGCAATTAGTAGAGACCACATATATCCAATGCAAAGTTAAACTTATGTACAAGGCAATCTGATGAAAAGAAATCCTATAAAGACTAAAATATTGCAATAAACTCATTCTAGCCTCAATATTCCTTAAGAAAACTTATAAACTAATTCCACCAGCTAGTGAAAATAATTTCAAATATCTTGTGATGGCAATTCCAACAACTTATGCTTTATCTCTTGCATTCATTCTTTTAAGTATTCATATATATATATACACGCATGTTTCTGTGATCTTCCATTGGCTGAAAACAGAAGTTGCCATAAATCATAAGAACCAAAAAGAAATTATAATCAAAGATTATAGTAATTTCAGCAATAACCTGTCACGTGCACCAACCCATCATCACCAATTCTACATGAATCCAAGTTCAAGCTCTCCAAATTTGTCAAACCTGGATAAGTAAAAAAATCAAATTATGGACTGTAACTGCCACGACTAAAAATTGAAAGAAATTTCCTAAAGAAAACCATATCACAAGATGCTTTAATATGTTTCACAAAGAATAATCTCATTATTTAGATAAATGATTTCAGTTCCAATGATATCCCCTTCATTATTAGATCTCCAAAAAATAGAGGCCACATACATGAAGCAAAGATATACAATTAATTATTCTATCAAACAACAAAAGAGAAGGGAGAGAGCACCTTTCAGGTATATCAAACATGCATCACTGATGTCATTGAAACCCAAGTTTAATACCTTTAGATTACCAAGCTCTGTCAAAACAAATATACAATAAGTTGAAGGCCATCTAAGAACTTTTTAACTCTATAAACATGGAATGGGGAAAACATGAAACTTACTCGAAAACTTCTCACATCCATCATCAGATAAACTGCATCTGCTAAGATTCAAATATAACAGGGATGCAAGCGCTGTGAAAAAAGGCCAAGTCAATATCATGTTTAATGTAAAAGAAACCAAAAGAATATGTAATTAAAGTTTATATGATCAATTAATTATTTTGAATATTTCCTCAGAATGACATGACAAAAGTTGAAATTGAAAGAGAAATTATTAAATTAAACATTATTTGGAGATTACCATACAGATTTTTAGAACCAAAATGCATGAGTTACTGTCATGAGCAAATGGGAAAGGGAAGGGCATTGGTGATTTAAATGAAACACCAACTTTTAACAGCAAACACAAAATTGCAATTTGCAGTTCCTGATGGAATCGTCTAAAGAAGAAAATTAGCAGCATGGGTGCCAAGAATATATACCTGAAAGAGAATCCAAGCATGAAGCTGTAACTGGGCAGCCTTCCAAGTTCAAAATAGAAAGGCTTTGCAGACCTGAAACAGATTTGAAATTATAAACAATTTCAGGGAAATAGAAATTCAATAATCAGTAACAGCCAATTCCAGAATTTCTATAATCTGCTAATAAGTAGAAGAATGCTCAAGCATTACCTATCAAGTTCAACGGGCCATAATACACACAAGAAACCACAATGAAATCATGGTTAAGAAAGTTAAAAGTACATAAAATTTCCACAAATCCAGTTGTCATAGGACAAAATTTCAATATACCACAGCTAACATGAAACTCTAAAAGATTAAAAGAAAATAAATAAACAATTATCAACAAGAAAAGGAGAAATGGGAGGGAAATTAAAAAGAAAAAGAAAAAGAAAAGACATTAATTCTGGTTCATAAAACCTATATAGTTCAAAGGTTTAAAATTTTGACTTTCTTTGATCAGTAGAGTGGAATACCACACACCATAAATGCATATGGCAAACAAAACCTTCTTGTAATATCAACCCTCTCCAGTTCAGATTAAACCCATTGGGGGGTGCGTTTGTTGGGAGGATGCATATTTGTTGTTGAAAGGTTCGACAACTTCAGCATGACATTCCAAACCATGCGGTAGACTCATAAAAATCCCCCACAATCACGATAGCCCAACATAAACTATCTATCTTAGATGACTAATATTTCTAATACCAAAATATAAAGCATGACAGCAACTGAAATGGCAATGAAGTACCTTTTAAATAAGTGATACCAAAATCTGTGACCTTGCTGCAGGAAATCTGTAAGCTTTTCAAATTTGTAAGCCCTAAACATGATAAGAGAAGTTAGCCCTGATACATAATTGAGTATGTAATTCCTATTACAAAGCAAATTGAAGCATTGGAAAAAATAGAAGAAAACCAAAAGCAAAATTTTAGTCAATTTGAAGTCTCCTTATCCTGCATGTGGTTCATTATAGTTATCAAGTGACCACAAAAACAAAACATAAGGATTAAGGATACTCAAAATGCAAGAAAAAGCTTTCAACAGGTGTAGATATCTTTGACTGCCTATTGAAAATCAAAATACAATGATCTATCAAACAGAGATGTTTGAACAGTTTAATCCGAAGACAAAGGTAGCACAGTTGAGTCGTTGGGAAACATATACAGCCAACTAGAGGTCATGATAACAGATGATTTTTATCTTAAAGAGATGGCATTGAAGAGGTATACATGGGTTGGAACAATGTGTAGGTTATATATATATATATATATATATATATATATATATATACACACACATATACATATATGTAAGGCCAACTGTAGGTCAAGAGTACACAAATTTCTTCTGAAGGTTAAACAAGATTTTATTGATGTGAAAAAACATTGATATTACACAACTATTTATGGGAGAGGAGCAAAAGGAAAAAAAGTTAAGTGAAGAATAGAAATGTTTAGGAAAAATCTACCAAATGGCAGCGGCAACAGCAACATAAGAATCACCTGAGAGAGGCTTCATATCAGCATCTGTTATGCAATTACACCATTTAATATTAAGAGACTCTAACTTTGTCAAACCTGTAAATTGATAAACAGAGCTCATCAGCCAAATATTAAATAATGCTGACACAACAATCCATAATTAACATGCAAAAATAGTACCCCCACAGAAATGCATCTGACCGTATACTAACTAGTTAAGGGAAGGGCCAAACTCATCATGGACTCATCTTTTTATATGTTCTCTGTCATTCACATATTCACTACTATAGAGTAACACTGTGAGAAACTAACAACTGATCAAAACTCAAATATACTCTGCCACCACCACTGCACACAGAGAAAGAGGCGGAGGGGAGGAAGACATTCAGACCGCCCACAATGCTACCCTTCCAAAATATGTTCCTCAGAGGAGCTTTCCACCTCAGGAACAGTGTGAGAAAGGAATGCAAATTCATGTTAAGAAAACCAAAAAGTAAAGACAAGGACAATCATACAAGTCATAAAGATAAACAAACTTCAAAGGAGAAAATTACCTTTAATATGAACAAGCCCCGCATGAATCCCAGGACATTTTTCCAGGTCCAACTTCAACAAGTTTACTAGGCCAGAAAAGGCAGTCATTCCCTGTGCAGTAATTGCACTGTTTCTTCGAAAGCTCAGACTGGTCAAGTTTGAAAGACCTGAAAGATTTTATGTTACATGCAGCCACAAAGAAAATTACCAAGATATGTAAAATGGCTGTTAATTAACCGAGACAGTTGAGAGGAAGAAAAGAAAAAGAAACCAAAATGAGAAGGGAATAGTAGAAGAAGAGAAATCATGGAGGAAGGCAGAATGTAAACAGAACTGCAGTTGAGAATAATAAAATTCAATTTGGTAAAACCTTAGGCCAGACTTGCCTGGTTATGTCACATCAGGTTGCAATCACAATATTTTCTATTTAATTTTTGCCTATTATGGAAATTTAGCATTTGACTACATCAGAATAGTAGAGCATTAAAAGGTTACCGCCGATGTGTTGTAGTCCGCGGTCAGAAATCTGGTCACAGTAATTTAAATTTAAAGCTTGAAGGTTTGCACAATCTTTGAGATATATCAACCCAGGATCATTGATATCAGAACCAGAGAGGTCAACCGAAAGCAAGGATGATCCTTGTGAAGAAATGACATCCATCCAATTGTCATTAACCCCGGGGTAGTCTCCCAGGTAAAGGTCCTATTGCAAAGAAGATAAGACCTCACAGTTCAACTAGGCTGATCAACAATTAAGTAAATCATTGATAAAGATTTTGAAATCCAACTTGCCCAAAGTTTTCACTAGTTACCTGAAGAGCACAATCTCGAAAAGCTTCAAGAGAAACATTAGTCAGACGTTGGGAATTCACTAGTTCATTAAAGATCAGCTGACTTAGATCTCTTGGGAGCTTAGAAAATGAACCATAATTATCTATATCCTGCTCATGAACCAAGAATAAAAGATCAGTTCAGACACAGGAAGTAAGGATTTGACAAAGCAGGATATAAGCAAGCTATACCTCCCGTATTTTGTAAATGCATAATTCCATAAGTGATGGGCATTTTCCTTTTTCCCTTTGAATTTCTACAATAGGTCTAGTAGAAGTTGTTGCCAACCACTTCGAACTCCCACTTTTGCAATATCTTCCAGAAACCCCTCTGTGTAAGCCATCTTCATTGTCCAATTGGTCTCTTTTCCTAGAACAAGCTCCCCCCATTGAGGAAATACCTTGTGATCAATATATCTCATAAAAACTGCAGCATAACACTAACCCATTCAATTACCAAAAATGGAAACACTCACTTTACTTTACCCTGTAAATATGAAAGAGGGCAGAAGAATAAGTTATCAGCTTACATGATCATCAATAAAAAATGCCTCACACATAAGCATTCCCAACAACGTTTCAGCTATAAGAACACAGCATTTATGAGACAACAAATCTATTCTTTTAACGAAAGGAAAACCAAGTTAAATACCAAAAAATGCAGTTCATAAATCATAAGGAAGATGTCAGCAGCCAAATTAAGTTCATTATAATTGAATTTCGAAAATAACTGCTTCCACGTTTTATAACAGATCAACCATGCGTTAAATACTGCAACTTGTTACATGCCATCTACAAGGATATTAACATAAATGCCATCTCCTTTACATTCATAGTTTGGGTTTTCATTTAAAAAATTTTTTCGTTAGAATCCATGAAAATGGTCACAGATAATAAGACTTCATTTAAAAAATTTGAGGCAATTAATACACCAAAATGTCATCAAATGCAAAACATTATCATAAGCTTTGTGATATCTACAAGATCTCATGTACCATAATTAAGGAACAGAGAGGTTATTATCCTACAATCATGTAAGAATCGTTCACCTTTAATCCACTGAATTCTAAGAAACTTACAGACACAATCAACTCAATACAATTAATGCAAAACAAAATTAGTATATATAACCAAAAGTTGGCTGCTTTTTTTTTTTTTTTAAAGATTAAAAGAAAAGGCAAAAACCAGAAATTTCCAGATATAATAATAATAAAAGTAGGCTTCTTAAAATAACATAAAGCCCTTGCTTATCAAAAGAAAGCTAATAGTTTTAATTACATGATTATTATAACTTTTAGATAATACTACAATAGGTTTGATGTTAATTCCAAATAATTTTCAAAAATTAAAATATTTTCGACTTCGTTATTTCTCAAAATTTCTACCAAACAACTAAATTCAAAGCTGTTATTTCAGGTAAAAAGAAATCAAAACACAATAAAATAAAACAAAATATCATATACTACTGAAAAAGCGAAATATTATTAAACAAACAAACAAACAAACAAATAAATAAATAGACTTTAAATAGTAATAAACAAAGAATATAGAGCGAAGAACAATAAACGTCAACTACATACTCCGATTTTCAGAAAAAGTTTTCCAGCAAAAACTTTCCTGAAAAAAAAATAAAGTTCCGTTTTCTTTTAAAAATAACTAAAGAGATGGTTCTTATTACCATAATCTAACAAAAATATCCAAAGAAAATTATATAAAGCTCCAAAAATCACAGTTACGGATCGATTTTAACGACAAAAGCCTACAAATTAGCACAGTTTCCACCGATGACATTCATTTTCCGTCAAAAACAAAAACAAACAGAAACGAATTGCCAAAAAAAATTTTTAAAAACAAGAAAAATAATCTCCATCAGTACCTTATCATGATCAAAGGCTTGGATTGATTTTCTACAGAGAAAAAAAATACCAAACCAAAAAGTTATAATCAGTGACTAGAAAAACTGAGAGAGATAGAGTGAGAGGAAAACAGCTTAAAGAGAAGCGTGTAAAAGAAAAAAAGCAGATAGTAATTAGAAAGGAGAAGCGACGTGGCTATTATCCGAAGTAGACTCCGGACCAACTGATGATTGACACGTTGGTTTGGAGTGAGGTTGGGTCGAATTTTTTTCAAATTTTTAATTTACTCTTATTTCAATTTTTATTATCCTAAATTTTTTACCCGCAATTTCAAACTATAATAATGAGTCGTAGGTAAGCTCCGTGTATTTAATTTATTGAAAAGGTATTATATGCATAAATTTTTTATATTTATTTATTTTATTAAATTTAATATAAAATATAAATATTATATTATAATTTATATTAATATATTAAATATTAAATAAATTTTTTATTTTTATTATATTTAGATATAATTTTTTTAAATTTAAATCATATTATCATTTTTAAATGCTTTACGTATAATTTTTATATGATATCACGTATCCTATTTTAAATTCTTATTTCGAAGTCTTAATATTCTCAAATCCTAATGCCTAAAAGAATGATGAGACAAGAAAGAAATGGAAAGATTTGTCGCTTGGGTTTATCCGAAGGAGAAGAGTAAGTGTAGGGCCGGAATTTAAGATACTCCATTTTTTTTGTACACGCAACATTTTGAGATTAGCTTTTCATTATTATTATCATCATATTATTATATATTAGTCTTAATTTAATGATGGTAAGTTGATGATTAGTAGCAAGTAGCACTTATTAAAATAATTAATCATGGCATTGGTGATTCATAGTGGAAGAAAATTTTGGCTGTTTGGTGGTTAGGGAAGGCTGCTGTCCCTTTTTTTGGTTGGTTTCGGTGGGTGATGGATGGAACAAGGTTTTAGAAATGCTAAAATAATAAAAATTTAAATTTTATTATTTTATTTAATAAAATTTATATTTTTATTACTTATAAATAATTCTAACGTTTAATTTTTAGTTGTATTTAAAAAAACACTTAATATAAATTAATATTACTTTTGATACAAGTTTTTCTTTGTATATAAATTAAAGATAAAAGTTTATTTTGATATAATAAAAATATAAAAATTTATGTAAAATTTTTTTTTCTAATCTTTAATGTACTTTTTAATATCAATTAACATGCTATTTGTAGTAATATCTTTATAATACATGCAGTAATTTATAGTTTTTGTTATAATTGCATGTTAACTTGTTTAAGATTCAAATTATTCATTGAGCCCAAAAATTTGTTCAAAATTTAAAATGATGGGGACATGAATTTTAAATTAATTAAATATGTTTGAAAGTGACATTTGAATAAGTTTGAAAGTGACATTTAATGTTTAAGTTAAACTTGACCCGAATAATTATTTTATATTTTTAATATTTATAATTATATATTATAAAAATAAATAAATAACTATATTAACACATGCGTATGTATTAATACATATTCTTATATATATTAATTACATTTAAACATTAAATTAAATAAACAAATTATTTTTATACTTTATTTTTTGATTTAATGATTTAATTACAAAATATATATTACATTTTATTATGGTTCACAATCATTGGATTAAAAATTAATATATATGTATAGTAAATTTACTTAGAGGTGAGTAATTGATCGGTTCGGTTTAAAAAAATTAATAATTACTTTAATTAATTTTTATTTAATAAATAATCGAATCGATCAAATATTATTAAGTAACCGATCATAATTGAACTAATTAAAATCAGTTCAGTTTGATCGATTCGATTAAATAATCGATTTTTTTATTTTTTTTAATTATAAATAATTATTTAATCACAAATTTAATTCAATAAAATTTAAATTCAAGTATCATTTAAATTAAATGATTAAAGAATTTAATAATTTTAACAATATTTTACAAAAAAAATATTTATCTCAATTTTTTTTTTATTTGTAAAAAATTGATTAATTCGATCAGTTCAATTCTCAATTTTAAAAATAAAAAATTGATTAAATTAATCAATTTAATTAATTTAAAATTTTGATTATAATTAAAACTGAATAAATCAAATCGATTCAACTGAATTCACTTTATTTCGATCAATTTAATCGATTTAAACCGACTTTTGTTCACATTTAAAAAAAAACTAAAATATTTAAATAGTCAACTTTTTAATCTAGCTTTTATACATGTAGAATATGTGGAATCGACGAACTATATCCTAACAAGTGAAAGGCTCAAGCTTGGCATCAGGACTATAATTACACAAACAATTGTTCTTAAAAAAAAAAAAAACTAAGGACATAATACACTACTGGCTAAAACTTCAAACCATGCAATTTTAACGTCAAATGAGAGTTTTTTTTTTTTTTTTTTTATCATCACTAAAGTTTGATAACAATAAATAAATGTAGATATATTAGGATTTATATTTTATGCCTACATTGAGGCAGAGCTTGAACAAAAATGAGAGAACGACAGAAGCAAAAGGCTGCACAAATTTTTGAGGAACCAAAGCTTAATATTACTTGCATAGAAGTGCAAGATCAATTGATCCATGATTCTAGTTCTATTACCTGGTTGTAAACTAAATATTTCCATGGACTTTTGGTTTGCCCTTTATCTTGGAAAGTAATATTACTTTTGGATGATGATTTAGAAGCCTAATATGAAGTTAGTTTTAGTTGATAAGTTAAGAATGATAAAGATTTGGATAAGATTGAATTTAATTTAAATTTTATGAATAATATATAATATTTATGAATTTTTAAAATATGACTTAAATTTATTTTTTATATAATCTTATTTATATCAAATTGTATCAGTTTCGTTTGATCTATTGATTTTTAATTTTTTTTACATATTATTTTAATATATTTAAAGAATTTTAAATATGTTATAATTATTTTTATTTTATAAAAATTTAAAATATATAAAAATTATAATTAAATTAGATTTCATTTTTTATTTCTTAATTTAAATTTTAATATAAATTTAATATTAAAACTTAATCCGAACTAAATAAAAAAAAAATCCAAATCTAACACTAAAATTTGGAATTGATTTTCGATTTTTTGCATCACTCCTAATGTAACAAAAAAAATCCATTATTTTTGGATGATAATTTAGAGATATCTAAAACCCAGAAACAAAAACCTCCACAGTCTACATCCAAAGATAAACCCATTTCTGTCTAAATCTTATCTTCCCTCACTTCTTTGCCCTCTCAATTTCCCTCCCCACAAAAGAACTTACTAACAAACAAAGAAATGGCGATGTTATCAATGGACATAGCCACAACTTTCATCAACTTCACCACTCGTTGCGGTCGCCACCACCGAACCCCGCCTCTCTCCGGAATCAGAACTACGGTTCCTGCTCTCTTCTTCAAATCCAGCCCCATCAAAACCCACTCCCTTTCTTCCAAAACCTTGCCTTGTTTGCCTCGCACGATTTTTTCCACCTCCGATTTCTCCAAAGCTAACCGCTGCCGCCGGTTCTCAGTATCTGCCACTGCCACTACGACTCCGCAGAGCGAGGATTCCGATGTTTCTACTAAAATTCCGCCTGATAATCGCATTCCTGCCACCATAATTACCGGCTTTTTGGGCTCTGGCAAGGTAATAATTCCTTTTCCAAAGGACAAAATGGTCTTTAAAGTTCAGTATCTTGACTGCTGGGTTTAGCTTGACTCTGTTAATTTTCTGGGTTTTTAGGTTGGTTCGTAGTTTTTACGAATTCATTGGATTTTGGCGTTGGAAATACAAGTAATAGTTGTAAAATGCAAAAAAAAAAAAAAAAATGTTACCTCTGGCTCTGGTGGAAAAGCTATAGGAATAATTACAAGTCTGTTATTTGTGGCTTATAGGATATTATTAAGCACGTTCAATTTAGGAGTTCTGAATTATTCTTGTAATGGGTGCTAAATTAACATATGAAAAGTTGCCTTTTTTCGATTAAAATTCAATTTAATTGATAACATACTCTACAAAGTCATTCAACAATGCTGACTGTTGTGCACCTATTTGTCTCTTGTTAATAACAATTTGCATTTCTTCTTTTGATAGGAATTCAGCTTCTCTGTTCAAGTTACTGAAAATTGAATCAGTTGGCTGGTTGTTTTGATCTGTTTTTTTGTGTTGCTCAACAGACAACATTACTCAATCACATCTTGACTGCAGATCACGGGAAGCGCATAGCAGTGATAGAGAATGAGGTATGGAGTTTGATTCCCTTTAACACTATTTGCTTGACGCAATGGCAATAAATGATTCATAATAGTTAGTCTTTTGGAAAATCATTAGTGTGGGTAAGCTATTAATGTAATTTAATTTTTGCAATTTGAACATTTCAGTATGGTGAAATAGACATCGATGGCTCTCTTGTTGCTACTAAAGCTGCTGGGGCTGAGGACATAGTCATGCTCAACAATGGCTGTCTCTGCTGTACTGTAAGGGGTGATCTTGTGAGGATGATTGCAGAGCTAGTCAATAAGAAGAAAGGGAAATTTGACCACATTGTCATTGAGACCACAGGTAGGAATTTTCTCAATGACCTATGAAAAATTATAAAAGAGAATAATTATTTTTTTTCTATTTTTTTAATGTATTGTGGCATGTGGTATGTTTCTGACTTTTTACCTTAGTTTGAGAACGAGAAGTTATTATATTTGCTTCTTTTACATTCCATATTTACCTTTTCAGGATTGGCAAATCCAGCACCGATCATTCAGACATTTTATGCTGAGGATCAGGTTTTCAATGAAGTAAAGTTAGATGGTGTTGTTACTTTAGTTGATGCCAAACATGCTGGTTTTCATCTGGATGAGGATAAACCAAAAGGAGTGGTCAATGAGGCAGTTGAGCAAATTGCTTACGCTGACCACATTATTGTAAACAAGGTACTTATGATAACCTTATATGTGATGTGCAGTGCACTCTGTTAGGCGTTAGTCAGGATCATTTCAGAACATTATATTCTAAAAAGATTGAACTTGTTTAATTCTCTTGAATTTTGACTCAAATATTTACCTGATATTGTGGCTACCACATATGTCTGATTTTCTTGAAACAATTTTGAACTTCACTACATCATTTCAAGAAACAGAGCTTCCTTCATTTTTCTGAATCTATGGTTCTTTAAATCCACATCAACCAGATGTTGTTCATAGAACTCTTATAGGATATATTTAAAGACTTTAGCTTATCATTTAAAATTGTTTCTCTAATGCTAGCTGATATGATTATTTGTACTTTTGTTAGACTGATCTTGTTGGTGAGCAGGAAATTACTTCCTTGGTTAAAAGGATAAGGGTGCGTTTTCTGCTTTTTTATTATTAATAATTTTGTTGCAGCTTAGGATGCCCTTAGTTACTACTTGTTTATTTTGCGTAGTTCTGATTGAAGATGGCATTGCCTGCATGCAGAACATTAATCGTATGGCTCATCTCAAGCGTACAGAGTTTGGAAAAGTTGACTTGGAGTATGTTCTTGGAATTGGAGGCTTTGATTTGGAGAGGTTGTTTTTGCTCTCATTTAGTAGTTCCATTGTTGGTGAAGGAAATTATTATAGTAATTATTACTAGTATTGCTTCTTTTTTTTTTTGTTCATCACCATCATCTTCTTTTGCTGTTGAGCGAGAAGTGTTCGTCCACTCCTTGATTTGGCCTTAGAACTGCCATCTGAACTTCTTTTCCATTTTGAGATATTATTTCATTGAATTCAGCCTGTTGTACACCATTTTGGTGGTACATTGCATCATGGATGGTAAAATCAATGTTTCCATTAATCTCATCAATTTTCCTTTTATCTGTTTCTTCCTTTCCCTTTTCTTTGAAAAAAGGGAAGGGGAGAAGGGAGGAGGGGAGTGGGAAAGCTTGATAAGTTTGAAATGTTTCTTTAATCCTTTACTTTTTATATCTCGTTTTACCTTATTGGAAAATAGCTTGACAAACATCCCTCTGTATGATGTATTATCTGTGAACCCTATGTCTTAAATATGTGTTTTCCAGGTGAGGAATGCTCTAAATTGTCTGTCATTGATCTCTTGTTTCCCAGCAACATTGGATAATATTATATTGCGTATTATTTTGGTATCATTCTTTTCAATCCATTGTTTTGCCACTCGTGCTCGTATGAAAAGCGACATTGAAATTCTGCTTTAGCCTTTTTAGAAGAAAAGTTTGATTCAGAATGGGGGTTTTGTCAACCCTTATGTTGAGATTTTTATGCTCTGGTATCTGAGGAAGATTTCATTAGACTTTCATGTCATTTATCCTTATTTGATTAATTTATGACCTGTTTTGCTGAGAGAGTTAAGAATGTCAGACAGCATCTAGGAACTGCTTATTTGAGTGGGCCTCTCAAGAATGTACAGATAGGATGGTGGAAAGGCTATTTGCCGGCCTTTTTTATGTTTAGATGTCTACTTTGGTGTATTATAGTGATTTTAATGTCTAGCTGTCCATCTCCTTAATTTTATGATTAGTTGAGAATTATTGCTTCTAAGTGCTGACCTCTTTAAGAAATGGCATACGATGCTTTCTTCTGTTTGGCATTGCAGTATCTTGTTGGCTTTGGTTTTAATGGATGGATATGGAATGTGCTCCCCCTGCATTAGAACCTTTGCAACTGTTTTTTCATGTCAGGATAGATTTATCTAGATCACTTCACTTGGTTTTCTCAGAGGGATAAGAAAGAAATATAATATGATTTTATAATGAGCAGGATTACACTTTTGAAACCCCATGTCATCTCTCTTAACAAGGGAGGACTGAGAAGGGGGTTCAGGACAATAGGAGGAGAGGCATCTCAGTTGAATACAGTAAATTAGAATGGATTAAGTTACTGCAGGTTTCAGGTTTCCAATTTTAGTGTCTAAGTTTGCTTCTGTAGTGGCTGATTAGCTTTTGAACTTCGAGTATGCTATCAAGTTGTTTACAATTGCTCATAGATTTATCTTTTGTTGTTGGGTAATACTTTTTGGAACTCATTCTTGGTAGTACCTCACATTATTCAGATAAGAGTGATGGATTATATCCATCTCGCTATCATTGGTTTTTTGCACAGGGAGAAAATGAAAAAAAGAGCATTTGATGATAAGGGGAATAATTACCCATATCAAAGCCCTGTGATACATGGATTTAAACTTCTTATTTTTGGTTCAGGCTATTGCTTTTATAGACCTGTCCTGTAACATTTGTCTAGTGATCAGATTGGCAACCTCTTGGTGCCTCTATACAACCCTTGCCCACCAAAAAACCTCTGTCTCTAGTTTACTTTTGGTTTTTCAACAAAATCAGAAACTTATAGACTGTCTTCCCTGGATTGGTTGGGTTGTTCATGCTTACGGTTTCCTGTAGGCCATATGTAGTTTCATCCGTGACAATGGCATTATGAGGACTTATTATTATTGATGATTGTCCATTTACTTGGAATTCTTGGCTGTTCATCACCCCCTAAATTTTTGGTTGTTGAATGTTGATCTACTTTTTTGTTTAAATCTTGCCAGGATTGAGAGTTCTGTCAATGATGAAGGTGCAAAGGAAGATCATGCTCACCATAGCCATGATCATGATAATCATCATCACGATGAACATGACCATAAACATGGTAACTTTAGTTTTTATGATACCAAATAGTTATTTTGCACATGTTTTAAATGTTTTCTTCATTTATTTCATGTTTGTCTTTATTAGCAGTTGTATTTTTCACAGTTTATATTATCCTTGAAGACTGGTATTTGGTTTAATTTTGTTTTTAATAATCATTTGGATTGCTTTCTTGTTATAATATTCAGTATGCTTTGTTGTTTATATCCTTTCTTTTCTAAGTGATGTCTAATTGTAATTTCTGATTTGCATATAGATAGAAGCCTTGCTTTGTGCTTTAATTACAATCTAATAAATACTAAATGTTGAATACTGAATAATGATGATATGAGATCTTAATGTTTCACAATAAATTGTGACTCATGGCATCCCCTGTTGACTTAATGATTAAATAGGTAGTTGTTGGACAAACAAATTGATATATGTGGTGGAAGATGCTCAGAGCAAGAATAAGTTTAAACTTATGCTGAGTTGTCAAATTGCTAAAGACATAATCAGCTATAAAGAATCCTCTGGCTAGTTGACACTTTTGTTACCACCTAATTTGTTGCTCTCTCAAGTGATACAAAATGTTCATATGGGGTGGCCATAAGATAGGCAGATTCACCTTTTCAAATCTGGCCACCTGAAACCTGAACATGTGAAATTCTGGTTTGATGGGGATTTGGCACTTGAGCAATGACATATTGATGCTTTTTGCTAAGATCTAAATCTGAAGTTTTTGGTTTGAAAGAAATGGTAAGGTTTTAGAAGATCAAGAAGAAATGAGATTAGGTTATTAGCAGTATGTGGCACTTGCTCATTTCTATAATGATTCAGAGTCTGAAGCTTTCTTTCATACTACTGGTTATTGATATTGCCAACAAGCTTTATCTTGTGGGAACTAGAGCTCACAAAATAAAATATTGTAGCTTTCCTTGCTACACAAATAGTCCTGATAATAACCCTTGGTCCTTATGCTGTGAATTTCTTACCTTGGTTTGTCATTAGTTACTAAGCTTAGGCTAGCGATTTAGGCTGTCATCTTTCATTTTTCTTTCCTCTACCCTATTTTTGGGCCTTCTTATATTTTGTTCTTCATTGGCAAGGGGATTTGACTGTGGGTATGCATGCTTGCTAAGTTTACAAATATCTTATCAGCGGGTTGAATCTGTACTCTTCTACTTATAGTGAAGCTAACATTTGGCACTTTCATATGCAGACCATCATCATTCTCATGATCATACTCATGATCCAGGGGTTACCTCTGTCAGCATAGTGTGTGAAGGCAGCTTAGATCTTGAGAAGGTTGGTTTTAAAGCATACTCTACCGTCCAGCTTATTTTGTTTTCGTCATGGGTTGAGATACTTCCACTATTTTCTTGCAGGCTGACAGATGGCTAGGCACATTGTTGTTGGAACGTAGTGATGACATTTATCGGATGAAAGGCCTTCTTTCTGTTAAGGGCATGGATAAGAGGTTTGTCTTTCAGGTGAGCAAAATGCCATTTTCATTTATCTGGTTATATTCTTATCATCTGCTGTACTGACTTGTCAATTGAGAACCTATCATCCTATTATATATTCTTCCCAGTTTCCATCCTAATAATGTATTAAATTGCCTTATTTCCTAGTGTCTTTATCACCTTCTTCACTCTTGTTTTTAGTTCCTTCATAACCTTGACTCTTGCTAAGTTAATCTTCATTGAAAATGATTGTGGCTGATATAATTTCTCGTGGAACACTGAGATGAAAGATGTTCCTGCTTAGTGTTCCCTGCATAATGACTTCCTGAAACCAGTCATCTGTGCTTTTAACTATACTAGTCCTAGTATGTTAAGCGCCTCGCTGTGATGCTGTCTCACCAACTCGGTCTCTCTTTTATTATTATTTTAAATGGAGTTTGAACTTTATGTAACTGGGGAACCTAAATCCTTTTTGGCCCTCTCCTTTTCCTCTTTCTAAATAAAGCTTGCATGGTGAGGAAACTGACATATGCCCTTTGACCCTTTTTTTTGTCTATTTCTTTTGAAAATGATCAGTTGGCAGTTGTGTATGTGCAATGAAGGGTTAGATTCAGTTATTTATTTTGTTGAGATATTCTTGAATTGGGTTTTCATTTTGCAAATGAACAGGGAGTTCATGACTTATTCCAAGGTTCACCGGATCGGCTATGGGGTGCAGATGAACCAAGAGTAAACAAGATTGTATTCATTGGGAAGAACTTGAATGCAGAGGAATTGGAGAAGGGTTTTAAATCTTGTTTACTATGATCACTCAATAAAACCATTTTGACCTTACATAACCTGGCTCCTCTCCTTTCCTTTCAATTTACTAATATAAAAAATTCGTGAATATGTAAGGGAAGGGTTCAGGTGCTTGCCGATGTATCTGCTAATAGTCATAGAGACCTATGATATAAGAGATGTTTAATTGATGCCAGTTTTAAAACAGCACTTTGTTGAGAATAATGTCATTTTAGTCTCCAATTTTTGCCAGAGAAAATGGGTTGACATCAATTATGTAAGAAATGTGAAACTGCAAGGGCACTCTGAGTTTCCATAGGTGCTATTTATATTAAAATTTGCTTTTTTATTTATATATGAGAAGTTTTTGAGCATAAATAGAATTTTATTTATTTATTCATTTATCTGAATTTATTCATTTTTCAATTATAAAAAAATTTTACTTTCAAATTTATAAATTTATCATTCACTTGTCCTACATGGTAATTTTTTTCGTACAACTACTTTAAAAAGATGATATATAACAAATTTGTAATTAAAATTTAAGCATTTGCAAAGAGGAATTTTTTTTTTTGTAAAATAATAATAATAATAATAAAATTTGAGTGTTTGCTCAATGTGTGATTTGGGTGCACAAGATCACTAGTACGCATGTTACTTAATTTCCTTAAATTCTCTTCAGTACACACGTTTTAATTAAGATAATATTCTGAAGTTTAATATCACAGTAAGCAAATCCTTTGGCATGAAGAAAGCGAAGCCCTTTGAGTATCAATCTTGCGTATCTTCTAGCATCGGATTATATCATGTTTCCACCGCTTTTCCTAACCTGATCAGCCAAGCTTCCTTTATCAGCGTTCTCCACGAACAAGTTATACAACTCCTCACCATTCTCAATCGTGTAATCATCGCCGAAACATGGGATGATGTGCGGGCTAAAACCAAGTTGACCAAGCACTTCCTCGTCGTTCTTGAGAGAATCAGAGTTGAGGAATGCCACCGGATACATTGTTGTTGGAAATGTCTTGGAGTTCTACTTGCCTCCTATCTTCCCACTGAAAACGTTGTCTTTCAAATATATGAACGTAGTCCACAAGCAAAAGACATGCCTTAACAAGAAGATGAAAACTATAGTAGGCAGCAATCACCAAAAATAATTAAAAATATAAAACTAGCATTGATATTGGATAGACAGGATAATGAGGACAAAATTATGTTTCTTCAATTCCAGCAAAATTAATGCGGTAGAATATATATTGCATTTTTTTTCAGAACTTTTTTAAACATAAATCAATAATCCAATCAATACGGTGAAACCAGAACCTGCGCCAATTTGGGTTAATACAAAGAACTGCTGCTAATGCCAACAGAACCACAACATAGGATGGAGCGAAAGTCCAATAAAAACTATCCATATCCATAACAGTCTGATCGCCATGATATTCTTCTTCAACTTGCACTGATGATTCAATTCTGGTGCAACTCTTCCCAATGAGGGATCCACAAAGACCTGGATTACCTACATAACTACTGTCAGAGAACGTTGAAAATTGACCTTGGTCGGGAGTCACACCAGACAAGTTTGTATGACACATTGAAAACTGATAAAAAGTGTAGCTCGATGAGCTGATAAGGGATTTGGCCGCTCAAGCTGTTGTTTGATAGGACTAGGCTTTCTAATTGTTTGAGACCAGAGAACCTCTCAGGTATAGATCCTGACAAATGATTGTGATAAATTCAATGCATAGATGTTTTGGAGCGCTCCAATTTCTGGTGGAATTTCACCATTCAATTCATTGCATGATTAAGTCCAGCCCGGACAGATAGTGAAGAATCTCACCCTTGTAGGAGTAATATCTACTCTTTGTTCTGATCTCCACTGCTGCTTGTCGATCTGTTATCCAATAACCACGAATGAAAGACTCCAACTTGAGACTGCAACTATAATAATTCACCAAGGTTAACGCCTAAATCAAGGCGGGAAATAGAGACCAGAATCGAAAATCCTTCCTCTTCCAATGCAATTGTTTTGTTTTTAAAGCATGAAGGTATATACCCATTAAGCCGGTTATGTGAAAGATCCACGATACCAAGTTGAATTTTACACAAGTGGCTAGGAATTTGACCTTGGAAATCATTTCCTCCCAACGGAAGAGCACGGAGCTATGAGAGTCCAGTTATCCACAGTGGAATATTTCCTGAAAATTTGTTATCGCTTAGATCAAGAATCTCTAATTGGGAGCTTTTAGGCACATCTGGAGGAAAGCGAATGAGATCATTCCCTTGCAAATAAAGGAATTCCAATGATGTCATATTGAGCAAAAATGGCATGGCCCCAGAAAATCTATTCTCAGAGAGGTCCAAAACTTGAAGGTATCTTAGATAGCAAAATTCAACCGGGATCATACCTTCAAGAAGGTTACTTCACATTGAAAGAACTATGAGATAATTGAAGCTATCAATCCAATGAGGAATTTCACCTGATGCATTATTGTTGGAAATATCCAAGACTTGCAACATTTTGTTGTTTGAAAGCTTCTGGCCAATCTTCCCGCCCAAGAAGTTTGTTCAAATATAAACAAGACAGCTTGGTCAAGTTCATATACTCTGGAATAATTTCTCCATAAAAATTGTTATCTGATAGCTTCAAAAACGTCATACTGGTACAATTTGTGAGTAACTTCTTGGTAATTCACCTAAGAAATCATTGTCAGACAAATCCAAAAACGATAATTCTTTCATCTCACCAATTGAAGAAGGAACATTCCCTTCAAAACTGTTTGTCGACATATTTATGTAGACTAGTTTTGGAAGGACTATACCAACATTCTCAGGTAGGTGACTGGAAAACATGTTTTCTGAAATCTGGAGATGAACCAAATCATGTGTGAAGTTGAAAAAAGGAAGAGCTCCTGAGAAAAAAATTCTTCATCAGATTAATACCTTGTAACTTTGAGTTGTTATGCAGCAACCAAGTGAGGAAACTTCCAGCCAAGTTATTACGAGAGATATCAATGAATCTCAAGTCATGTTGGTACAGAAGAAAATTTGGGATGGTTTTAGTTTTCATGTTTAAGTTGCAACTGCTTAACCTGAGGACCTTCAATTGAAATGATGGGATCCAAGGAAAACTTTCAATTTCTACTTGGAACAAATTGGTTTCTGATGAAAGTCCGAGTACCTGGAGCTTTGAAAGACTAGTTAATAAACTGGGTGAGAATGAACCTTCAAAATAGTTGCCACAAAGTGACAAATACTCAAGAAATGTAAGGTTAGCTATAATAGAAGGAATGTTCCCACTCAATGCATTGTAGGATAGATCAAGAACTTCAAGGTTGGTCAAGTTGCTAAATAGACACTGTGGAAGCCGACCACTGAACAGATTTGAACTGAATTTTTTTTAGTTATGGAGAAAAAATAATCAAATCCAACAATTTGAATGGAAAGATACATGACATGAGCTAGCTCTTATATGTAGGGGGCAACATTGTTTGAGTTTTTTTTTTTTTTCAAATAAATTGGTATATATCATATAAAGATTAAGTATTCTTATATGTTATGCAATTTTCTCTACTAAAACCAAAATAATTATTATTTAAATGTATAATTAATTTCTTTACAATATCTTCCCATCATATTATGATTTATTCATGTAACTTTGCAACAATTCACGTTTTAAAAAAATGAGTGAATCGTTTAGGCTAAACCTCAATTTCATTCATTATATATAGGTAATATATTATATCATTCATATTTACTAATCTTAGTATTCGTGCAATGTATCTATAGATACTTGAAAATATTTTTGTATATATTAAAAAATATTCTACATTTCTGTTTCTTATGCAGTGCATGGGTACAAAGAATAAAATTATTGTATTCTTTTGTTTTCACTCAAGAAAAAAAAATAAAAAGAAAACCAAGTGTTTAATGAAAATTAGGTAAAGTTTAATACTATAATTAAAGAATTTGACAAAAATTAAGCCGGAATCAAGTGGAAACAAATTGATAAGATCAAGAGGGTCATGGGTTTTGGAGAGAAATCATAGGCCAATGAACAAAAATACTCATGCGGTTTTATGAGAATTTTAATTATATGATTTGTCGATGAAAGGTTGGATTTTTAATTTTAATAATTAATATTTAAGTTTTGGTAGTTTTAAATATTAAAAAATTAATATTTAGGAAATTAAGTTTTTAATCACAAATTTATTTCAGTACACTTGGCTTAAATTTTAAAGTCAAATGACAGAAAAATAAATAAATAAATACAAAGTACGTCTAATGGTCTATCGGCATATCTGCCTCTACATGTTAATTTGTAAGTCGTTTAGCTAAGATTCTTTTATGGGTTTTAATATTGTAGTATTTTTCAGTAATTAATCATGGTTTGTGTGGGGGCATGAGAGGAGGGAAATATGTTTTATCTTATTAAAAAATTTTATTTATTAATAAACTATTAAATTGTTTAGCTGTTGTCCTGGCCTCAGTAAATTTTGTGTTAGAACACTTCTTACATTTTGAATGCCATAATAGCTATAAAATATAAATGGCCTTTGGTTCAAGTGATAAATTTTCTTTTTTTTTATTATTTGAAGAAAACATAATCTTTTTATGAATTTGTTAGATTTAAAATAAATAAATAAATAAATTTATTTGAGTCAATAAAAAAAATATATCGAGTGAAATTCAATAATCATTTACGCAATGAAAAAGAAAAGATTAAACTCATTTTAGTATTTTTTTTAATTTTATAAATCAATCGTGGAAAAAAGAAACTAGAAAATGTTGGTATACTTTTTAATTTACTTATGAAAGAGAATATTAATCAAGAGTAATTTTGCTTATAAGTAAATTTTAATTTAATTATTAGTTTTTTAATTTTTTTTTCAAAAACATACATATCAAAGTTTTTCTACTAATTTTTTTAGATTTAATTGGTATTTTCTTAATTTGGGTTCATTTTAAACCTCATTTACTAAATCAATTTGGTTTTTAAATGGAGAATAACTTTGATTTCATAATGAGAAAAAAAAAAAAAAACATTGTTAAGCATTTGATAGTTGAGAATGCACATTGCAGATTAAAAGAAATTAGAGATGTACGTACCTTCCATGGTGTCATTGAAGAAATTATCACTTAGATCCAGGCCTTTCAAGTGCTTCAACTTCATTAATTCTATTTACAAAAAAAAAAAAAAAAAATCAAAAGAAGGATCACATCTTTTTTCTTATAAAATAAAAGAAGAAAGATTTAGTGAGAAATATAGATTCTATAATTCTGTTTAGTTGATATTAATCAATTCACATATTCGTATCATATAAAATACTAAAAATTCATATATTCATATTATATTTTACATAAAAATTTCATATCATAAATAATATTAAGTAAAATATCAAAAATTAACTATTGATGCCATGTTTCGGTGCTATGCCGGCACCAAGCTCTGATGTGTTCCGGTATTAGTCAATGGTGCAAATTAATGATTTGATAAAATGAAAATCGAAACGCTTAGTTGTGAAATTTTTTATATGTATCATATCATAAAAAAAAAATATAGTTCAGAAATTAAATTGAATATTAATTAAAAAATAAATATGTGTTCATTAGTTACGCTTACGCACCTTTTACAGGGAACTTGCCATGGAATCTATTAGAGCTAACATCCAAATATTCCAAATTTACTAAATCTGCTCCAAGAACGAAATAAAAAATGTTATCAAGTACTATATTAGAATTAAATAACCGTATTGAATCTCCAGGGACAGGAAAATACAAAGGAGAATTAAACCACATACATTGTACAGGAAAAGAGCTTCCTTCCATGTAATTAGAACCCAGATTCAAAGTCTTGAGTGATTTTAGTTCTCTTATAAACGAGAAGATACTAGTATCAAATGAATTATCACTTAGATTCAACCTCTCCAGCTTCTTGAAACTTCAGAAACCTTCTTCATAACCTGCAAGATAGAAGGTGCAATTAAATTGTAAATTATGTACTCAAAATTGATCTATTCCAATTTTTTAACTCAGAGAAATATGATTTCTCGGACATAAAGAAAAAAGAGGTGCCTTGTACCAATATTTTTATATGGCTGATTTTTAAAATATTTGATTTAATAATTAATGCATGTATATTGTTTATTCAAAAAACAAAGTTTGAATCCGATCCTTTTGAATCAAAATCGTATTTTTTCTTTTTCAGTAAGTTCAAATAGAATATAATCTGATTCCAAAACTTAATTTAATTTATTTATGTAATCAAACTTAAAAGATGATATTCAACAAGTTTGAAATTTAAAAATTTATATTTAATACATTATCAATGTATATATTCTATATACTGTTAGTAAATTAGATTATGTCACATCATTAATGAGCAAATATCAACCCTTAAAATAATATACAAAAATTAATATTTTTTTAAAAATTTATTTATTAATAAAATGTCATCATCTGATTCACTTTATTAATAAGACGATATAATCTTATTTTTTAATAATGTATAAAATTTATACACTAATCATGCATTAAATATAAATCCGAAATTTAAATTTCAACTGTTATAATTTTTTTTATCTTCAAACTGTCATCTTCTTTGTAAAAAAAATATATATATAGTTTATTATAGTAAATAAACGTACCTTCATTCGAAACCCAACCAGCAAATCTATTGAAAGACAATCAAGGCTCACCAGTTCTTCAAAAGCATGAAACAAAGAAAAATTAAGAATGCCGCTTCGACCATAAGGAAAAGGATAACAAGGCCTCACATAGAAGAGTTGGAGCTCCATCACTCGCCCAGTGGTGGCATCGCACTTAACCCTCTCCCAGTCGCAACAGTCACTCTTATTGTCGTTAACATCCCATAGAATTAGACTATCATCTGGATACTCGTCCAATGTTTTTATGAAGGCTTTGAACTCTACCAAAGCCATTCTTTCCTCTTCCAGGCAACCTCTCATCCCATATATTTGAACCAAAACTGCCACGACCCACAACCACAAGTACTAAACGACGACCCTTCCCATTGGAAGATTACAATGCAATAATTTCCAAGTATTAGTTTGAGCAATTCGAGCAAGATTGCATAGCATTACTACTTATAGAATATATAGTAGCTATGCATATAGGGACGGATACATGATCTTTTATTCGAATATTCACTTATAATGTATATAAAAAATCATCATGAATTTATCCATTATGTCAACAAAAAGATGTCAAAAAAAAATTGAAAGTGTTTTTTCATTCGGAATTCGTCCAATATAACCAGGGTAGCAACTGGGAAGGATACAATGAATCACATTTGCAATGAACATGGAGGAACACATTTTTGGAAAGATTGAATGCAACATTTCAGTAAAACAACAAGCTTGTCCATGAATGAATATGATGTTTTGATTTTGCAAAATGTTGTTAGGAAAAGAAGCCTCATGCAATCTTCATGATAAGAGAACTGATGGTCTTACCTCTAAGCTCTGCACCAAAATTGTCCTAAATCAGTACCTGAAATCTCTTGTAGCACTTGTGTTTTCCGAGCAAAACTGCAATAATGATCTCTGGTCTCAACTGGGCCGGAAATCTGCAAAACATACGTCCTTCATACCCCCAAAAATAACCAATTAATCCAAATAATCTTATGATATAGTTACATAGCAGGATCAAGCATTTTTCCTTAGTATCTTGTTTGGCCCGCTTATCACTTCCCACGAGTTATAAATGAATGAAAATGAAACGCTTTCAAAACAGTAACATGATGAAACGTATTGAGTCTTCTAAAATAGCATATGAAGTACAATCATGAACCAATTTAGCAATGTTTGAACAATAAAGGAGCATGGCATTTGTGACAGGAAAACTTCAAATATCTGAAAACCTCAAATATTTTCCCTTTAAATTTCTTATACCTTGAAAATTTTTGAAACTATAGTGACATAAAAAAAGGAATATTCACCATTAGCATCAAGAAAATATAATCAGAATAGTAACCTATAAAGAGTAAATCCTACATCACTGGTCAAAAAATTAGCAAATAATTCAAGTGAATGCTCGTTGTTCTGCATTGAGCCACGCAAACCAAAATGTAAAATCACAACCAAACTTCCTCTCAAATGAGCATTTCAACCTGTCATGAGAAGCAAGTCAAGTAATGAAAGAAACAATTTGTATCCACAACCCAAGTAAAATGAGAACAAATTCCCACTCATTGTAAACTAAATTCCACATAAACATAAATTCTTAAACACAATGGATAAAAATAGAACAGATTCTCAAAAATTAACATTAAAATTAATATTTATGCAAATACATTACTTTTCCACTCCACTCATTCAGGCAACTTCCCTGACAAAAAAACAGCGAACTTGTTAACGTCAGAGTACTCATAATCAATCCCATTATCTGTCAAAAGCCCTTCAATCAACTTCTTATCACGTTCAGGCTCTTTACTCTCACACTCAATCTCATAACTAACACCAAAATCATAAATAGTTTCATCAAGTTCCAACTTCAGCCCTTTCCAATCATAAAGCCCCCTCACATTCCTAAACCCTCCTAAGCAAACCAAATCATCAACCCCAAATTCACCCTTCACTCTTTTCATTATTTGGGAAGAGCTAATCAAGTCCAACAAGCCTCTTGGTTCGGTCAAGAAAGAGCGGGCGAGTGATGGGTCGATGGGCTCTTCGTGTTCTTCGACTTGGCTAATGCCTTGGGAGAGTTTGGGCTTGGATTTGAGGGAGAGGATGGAGTAAGAGTCGAGGTTGTAGAAGCGGAGACGGAGGGCGGAGTTGTTGGAAGCGAGAGTGGAGTTCGGGGTGTCGAAGAAGATGTTTTCTTGGATGAGAGTTTTGGTGTGGAATGGGGTGAGGAGATTAGAGAGTTTCTGGTGAGAGTTAGAGTTTGGGAGCCTCAGTTTCACTTCTACTTCCATTTGGGTTTTGGAAGTGAGGGAAAAGTAGGAAATTTTGGTGCTATTGATTTGGTGTAGTTTTGTTTTGTTCCAAGCTCTTGGAAACCGGCGTTTCAGCATTGTCGGGGTGGATGTAACATGCGTTTGGATGGATTTAGCTTTAGCCTCAACCTCAGATTGGTGGACAAGATGTCGAAGAAAGAACCGACCCGAGTGCTAATGGAGCGAATTGATCTGAAAATTTGTTCAAGTTTGGTCAGATTTTGCCATCGGACTATAGTTTGGTCAAGCATCCGGCCCGCTTTCTCAGGCTAGATCGGGCTTGACAAATGACAAGTTGTTCAGAGTTCAAAGCAGAGCCAAGATGGACCCAAGCCCATTGGACAGCTTCCTACAGTTATGAGTTGGGTCTTCCCAGCTAGCCAGTAAGTCGATTTTACAATTTTATGCACCAAAAATTAAAAAAACGACGTCGTTTCGGAACTGAAATTGTTTATCTGAACTCGCTCAAATCTCTTCGCTCCGTTAAACACTGCAACAGCCAACTACCGTCCGCTACAGCACCACCGCTTTCTGCTGCCGCTTGGTTGCTCAATTCAAAAAGGTAATTATTCCCAACTCTAATTTTGACTTTATTTCTTCCTTCTCTTCTCTTGCATCTTAGGGTTATATTACTTCGGCAATTAATTTTTTTTATTAAGCCTTTTTTCGCCGTAATCTTAACATCATATTTTCCCCCTTTTTTTTTGGGTAATTCAGATAATTGAAAATGGAGGAAGATGATGATTATGTTGAGTATATTCCGGTAGCGAAACGCAGAGCCATGGAAGCTCAAAAAATCCTACAAAGAAAGGGAAACCCTTCTGCCCTTGTAGATGAAAATGAAAAATCCAATCTTGCTGAAGTAAAACCTAGTTTACTTATAAAAGCAACTCAGCTTAAAAAGGACCAACCCGAGATTAGTCAAATGGAACAAATTGTACAACAAGAAAAAGAGATGATTGAACATTTATCGGATAGGAAAACACTTATGTCGGTCCGGGAATTGGCGAAGGGGATTACTTATACTGAACCCTTGTTGACTGGTTGGAAACCACCTTTGCATATTCGAAGGATGTCGAGAAAGGATAGGGATTTGATTCGAAAGCAATGGCATATTATTGTTGATGGGGAAGATATACCTCCTCCTATTAAGAACTTTAAGGATATGAAGTTTCCGGATCCGATATTGAAGAAATTGAAGGCTAAGGGGATTGTGCAGCCGACTCCAATTCAAGTTCAAGGTCTGCCTGTTATTTTGTCCGGAAGAGATATGATTGGGATTGCTTTTACGGGGTCGGGGAAAACGCTTGTGTTTGTGCTTCCAATGATCATGATTGCATTGCAGGAGGAGATGATGATGCCGATACTTCCAGGAGAAGGTCCTTTTGGGTTGATTGTCTGTCCTTCGAGGGAGCTTGCTAGGCAGACATATGAAGTGGTGGAGCAGTTTTTGGTACCTATGAGGAAACATGGGTATCCAGAACTCAGACCGTTGCTTTGTATTGGTGGCGTCGACATGAGGTCTCAGTTGGATGTTGTGAAGAAGGGGGTTCATATTGTTGTTGCTACTCCTGGGAGACTGAAGGATATGCTTGCCAAGAAGAAGATGAATTTAGACAATTGCAGGTACGATTATTAATTCAACGCTTTTAGTAACACCATTGTCAATTAGCTAACCCGCTACTTTTAGTCTCATGATAATCAATTCAATATATATTAGAATTTAGATGGTTAGGGTAACTTAAGCTGTTACTATATGCATTATGGGATCAGTGATGTTAAAATGTTATGGAGGCTTGGTGGGGGCACCAAACTACTACTGTTTTTGTTTTGCCTGTTAATTTGTTCTCATTTGTTTAAATAGCTCTCTCTACTTTTGCCTTATATAGTGCTATTTGTTTATTTACTTATGGTGAAAATATGTAGTGTTTTTAACTTATTCTTTCTTTTGCAATTTTTCTTGCATATAAAAAGATATCGTATGGTGTAAACTCTGTTATAGCCAGCTTAATTTTGGTTTGTTTGTTAAATTCTTGGCTTTGCATTTATTGGGAAAATATTTTGTACTTTCTTATGGTTTTCCTTGTTTTTAAGTTTGTTTAGATATCTCTATTTACTTTTGCTATCATGTAATGTTTGGTGCCTCTGCACTGTTTTTTAATACTTGCACTTAATTTCAAAGTAAGCAAATGTGCTGAATCTGTTACAGTTAGCTTTTTTACTCCCAAAACATAGATTATTTGTGTGCCATTTAAATTACACTCTTTCGATAGATAATGATACTCAATTAATTGGCTTTTTTACTGTAGATACTTGACATTGGATGAAGCAGATAGACTAGTGGATTTAGGCTTTGAAGATGACATCAGAGAAGTGTTTGACCACTTTAAAGCTCAAAGGCAAACCCTTTTGTTCTCTGCAACCATGCCTACCAAAATTCAGAACTTTGCCAGAAATGCTTTAGTAAAGCCAGTTACTGTTAATGTTGGAAGAGCAGGAGCTGCAAATCTTGATGTGATTCAGGAGGTCGAGTATGTGAAGCAAGAGGCAAAGATTGTTTACCTCCTTGAATGCCTACAAAAAACCCCTCCTCCTGTTTTAATATTTTGTGAGAATAAGGCTGATGTCGATGACATTCACGAATATCTCCTCTTGAAAGGAGTTGAGGCTGTGGCCATTCATGGAGGGAAGGACCAAGAAGAGAGAGAGTATGCCATCTCATCCTTTAAAGCTGGCAAGAAGGATGTCTTAGTTGCAACTGATGTTGCATCAAAGGGTTTGGATTTTCCTGATATTCAACATGTGATCAATTATGATATGCCTGCAGAAATTGAAAACTATGTCCATAGAATAGGACGAACAGGAAGATGTGGTAAAACAGGAATTGCAACTACATTTATAAACAAGAACCAGAGTGAGACAACCCTGCTTGATTTGAAGCACCTATTGCAAGAAGCCAAACAGAGGATTCCACCCGTCTTAGCTGAGCTCAATGATCCAATGGATGATGTAGATGCGATCACCAATGCAAGTGGTGTAAAGGGTTGTGCTTATTGTGGTGGGCTGGGCCATCGTATCCGGGATTGCCCCAAGTTAGAGCATCAGAAAAGCATGGCTATTGCCAGTTCTAGAAGGGATTATTTTGGTTCTGGAGGTTACAGAGGAGAAATTTGATTTGTACTTGTCGGTACTCGGAACTCATTTTGGTTTGTATCAAACAGAAAGAATCTGGGGAAGAGGCCACTTTACATCTTGGGTTGTGGCGCCTTAATGCAAGTTGTATTTCTTTCTTTGACGTGAATTGATGCAAAGTTCTATTAAGGGGAAAATAGAATCATGTGCCTGGTTTGTTTGCTAGTGCTTATTTCATCTCATCCATGGAGATTTTGTTCAGGGGAAGTGGGATTTGTTTTTTTTTTTTTTTTTTAAGGTTTGTCTTTATCTCTGGGGGCTTGTTTTCCAATATGATTAAGAGTGAATAATGTTCCGTGAATCAAAATTTAAAATAAGTATGTGGTCAGGCAAAGAGGATAAAATTACCGCTGAGCTTTAGCACAAGTGATAGGGAAAAGGTGAAATTTGGAGGGAAAAATCAGAATCTTAATTTGATGATATTGTTACTTCTGGCATAGAGTTTCTCAAGATTACATGAGCACTGATAGTCCTTTAAAATGGCAGACAATAATATAAATCTAATTACAATGTAAATTTAGGAGTGGATGCGTAACTCTGACCAACAATCGCTAATGCATTGGCCATGGGATCTCTGGAACCTGGATTTTCCATTAGAACTTTTGACAGACTGCCCGCCGCCTTTCCCCCACCCTGCCCCTGTTTAACATCGTGTGCATCAGCATCACTTTCAGTTAGATGTCTTCCAGGTTTATTGTGACAGAAAGGTAATGCTACTGTGCCATTTAAAAACAGTGAAAATGCCACATTCAATCTGAGTTTATATTACATATAAATATATATATATATGTTGGTTCTGTTTTGTTATTCTTACTTATGCTATTTATTTTATTATGAAAAGGTTCTATTTGCTTAAATGCGAAGAGATGGCTAAAATATCCATTACTCATGAAAACAGTGATGAAATTTTATTCTGTATCCAAACCCATTTTTTGTTTCCAAACCCATTTTTTGTTTCCAAACACATATATAATACTAAAGGCAAAAATTAAACAAAGGATCAAAATGCAAAACCTTGAAAGGTTTGATGATCAAAGATCCATGGCTGGTTCTGTGTCCATCTTCCTGATCTTTACGGTGGAGGCTGTTGCGCAGTGTCTGAAACAGCTGATATATTTCATTAACTAATTCTTTCCTTTCCACCACTGTCTCTAGGAATGCTTGCTTCAAAATTTCATATTCTTCTTCAAGGATCTTCAATCGTGTATTCAGTTCTTCAGCTTCGCTAGCCTGCAAAGCCACCTTACCTTTACAAAAACTAATGCGAGCCTCATTTTGACTTATTATCACTCCAGATTTTTTCACTACCTCTTTTGAACTCGAAGCTTCTTCATTCCTAAACTTGTAAAACAAGTTTTCTTGTTTCACAATAGAATCTACTGAGAAATCAACCTTTAATCTTGACTGATTGCTTGTTGTCGTATGCATAGTACTGCTTGCTGCCTTGAAATTCTTGAACTCTAAAACCTTCTTTCCTGAGGAATCTAATTCCATCTCAAATGAAGCAAATTCTTTCTTCTTCCTAGGTAGAATTTCTTGTAGAAGTTGCATATAATCTAAAGTTTGGGTTTCAAACCTGTTGGAAGCTCGATCTTGGTCCATCAGTTCTAAAAGAACTGACACAACGCTTTCAGTTAAATAAGTGAGCACACAGTTGAGCAATCCTGAAAGGCAACATAAACGTTGGGGAGAAAAGAAAACATTAGAAAGTTTAGCAATGATAGACTGGTTTTATGCAATGTATTTCCTGAAATTCTATTGTGGCAACAAGTATGAATAAACTACCATCACTGGAAATGCAGCAGTTGGTTGTTGAGTATTGGAGAAAATGATTGTTGCTTACCCGAGAAAGATATGTCCAGGGACATTGACAACATTCCAAAGGAATGTTTATGTTTCCCTTTTTGCTTGTCTTCTAAGAGAGTTTGCCACTGCAGCAAGCAGAGTCAGTAGCAACTACAGCAAACTCTAAGTTGCATGTGAAAACTCGTTCTTTCCTTTTGAGTTTTGAGAAAGAGTAGGAGAGAAGTTAAGGAGAAATTGCCAAGCACTTTCAAGAAGAATGTCACACTGTCAGAATTTGTCCCTGTTACCACAGGTGAGCAAAGTCTGCTTCATTTAACAGGAAGTCATGTAGTGAGAAATTTAAAGAACTGTAAACTGTAAATTGAAATAGCAGCTACTAAAATAAATGGATGGTTCAAATGATGAAGTGAATTTGAATTTGTTAAAAGGTCATGAAAAGATCATTTTTAATGAATTCACTAAATTTGACATATATAAATTTACTTAACTAGACCCAAAGAAGGAATGAGTTGGATAAAACCTAAAAACCTCTTAACTGCTTTAAAAAAAAAAAAACAGCTATTAAAGCTTGGTTCTTTCTCAACTCAAAATGGTATATTTTGTCTCCATTCAAGCCCAAGCTTTGGCCTGACATCGAGTGTCAGACTGCTGCATGTGGCATACGTCAATAGGACCATAGACATCTGGGTATGTTACCTCTACTTCCCCTTCACGCTTCGATTGCAACCATACATAAAATTCGACGTCCAACTCACTGAGCATTTTTAGGCCATCAGATGATATCTATTACTATGAATTGCCATATGATTCTTCAGTAAACAAGTCAAACAACCTATTGCTTTATCACATCAGGTCCAGTCTAAAGCCATGATCTTCATACTGTTTAACTATACAGTTTCCCTTATGGTCCAAGAAAATGCTTCAAATAGGTGCAGCATGTGAAAGAGAAACGGGACAAGAAAACAAGAATATTGAACAGCTAAATTACATTTCTCAGATGCTTGAAAATTTTGAAGATATATAGAACCATTTACAGAGAACAGAAACTTATCTTGATACAGAATACTGAAGTTAGGAAACATGAAAGGGAAATAATACATGTGTATTATGTATGCTTCTAAAACGTGTTTCTCTCCTATGATACGTGCAGTTAGTTCCTCTCCAATTATTCAGGGGAAAGACTGCATAAATTAGCTTAATTGACCGGAACTTCAACCTCCATTTTTAGATCAGAGCTCCCAAAGACCTGTACCAAATACAAAGCAATGATGATATATAAATATATATATATATATATATATATCCATTGTCCTGGAGCTTTGAAAGATTAGTTAATAAACTGGGTGAGAATGAACCTTCAAAATAGTTGCCACAAAGTGACAAATACTCAAGAAGTGTGTAAGGTTAGCTATATTAGAAGGAATGTTCCCACTCAATGCATTGTAGGATAGATCAAGAACTTGAAGGTTGGTGTCCCATTCTCTAGGGAAAGAAGACTGTTTAAGCAAAATGAGAGCAACAAATGAAGCCTATGTCAGAAAACTTAACTAATGCATGATTTCATGTAAATTATGGTGGTCATACAAACAGTAGCACCCCTGCTTCCCTACAGCTATTTGATTGTAGCCATTAAGGAAAGCTTTAACAACATTGTAACAAGCATATCACTATGGACCCTTAGTGCAGGTTTCTAAATGTTTCTATAATGGCAGAGTTCATTATATCTTCTAAATTGCAAAAGATTTGAACATTCTTGAATTCATTTGCTCTTATCAGAAGAGTCAAATTGTGGGTTTCCTCGTACACTGCCATATGGGCCGTGCCGTGTTGGCAACATGCTGTGCTAGCCCAATGGGCCAAGATATCATTACTCAGCCCGGCTCTTTGACCTGTTAGTGGTGCAATGTAGGCTGTGCTGTTCCCCGGACCACCCACCCATTTGCCATCTCTAGACTGCCAATAAAGTCCATTATCTAGAGCTTTCGGCCATGCTGTTATCCATTCCAAAAAACATTTTTGCACATTTTTTTTTAATAAATTCTCCTATTTTGTGGAACCAATGGGATGAAAAAAGAAAAGTTATATCATTAATCCCAGGTTCTAGCTAACTTTAACCATATTGATCTCTCCCTGTCACTTACTTTCATTTACCAGCCTTACAACAGTTATCCAGAAAGCCAAACATAAACTGATAGAAAATTGAATAGTTACAATAAATATAAAATAGAACGAAAAACACCTTAATGAATTCATCCAGCGTTAGGCATGAGTCCCTTGAGTAACCTGCATCTGCTGCAGAAAGAAAAAACAAGTTTTAAGGGACCCTAAAAGATCAGTTTGCTCCTTTTTACCCTATCAGGTAGTCTTAATAGATAGTAAAAAGTCAACTGGGTTCAAATCCTACAATAAGATCCACTTGAGATTAAAAAATAAAGTTTAAGGAAAGCTTTTCCAGTTCTATTCATTACAGACAGATTGATTTGCATATCCGCACAATGATTTTCCTCTCATTGCAGCTAATTCCACAACAGGTATTACATTTATTTTTTTCATTACAATAAGATATTGCTAATAAGATATGTGAACTAAACTCATTCATTGTAAAAGATGTTTCCATTGTCTTTAGTATGTAAACACCTAGGGTGAACTGGATTACACCACCATGGATGGTATCAGCAAATCAAATAGGTCAAGTTATGCACACTGGACAAATGAAAATGCACATGGTGGTCACAATACAAGTAATCACCTACATCTCTCTTGCTTTTTTTAATTGTATGATATAATGATAAAGGAAAAAAACAAAAGGCACCCAAATCCTTCGTTTTTACCTCTCTTTGGTCGTCGGTAATAAATGAACCAGACAAATCACGCAACACTTCTAGCAGGTCATTGAAAGAAACCTTTTCATTGCCATCAGAATCATACACTCTGAAGATAACTGAGACAGAGAAAATTAATAACATTAACTAACTTCAAAACATTTGTACAACTTCGATGACCAAGGGGCAATAAGAAGGCAACCCAAAAAGTGATCATTGGTAACATTTTAATCTGTGACCATTAATTCGAAATTCAGTTGAAACCAAACCAGCAAAATCAATCACTCTACAGAAAAGACATTGAAGACTCACGTAGAATTTTCTGCTGGACACTTGCTTTAGCACTGAACGCTGACAAGAAGGCTACAAAGTCCTTAAAGTTCAAACCATCCACCATCTTAAGCAACCTCTGTAAATGCAACAAATCCAAGAATTCAATTAATTACTCCAATCAAGTCAACTCAAAGGACTATCTGAGAGAGCGGATAATTGCAAACTCTGGAAATGATAAGAACTCATCAGCAGATATAAACCCCTTTGCATTTCGATCTAATTGGCAAAACCTTTGGTACAATGAAATAATTTCTTGCGGAGAGACTGCATTCCCACAGCCAGAACACTTCAAAATTTAGATAGCACCACAACCAAATGGAAGAAATAGCGGGAAAAAGAAAGCATACAGACAACCTACAAAGATTATTGCAGTACACTAGAACTTCTTCAATATCATATTGAGTTAGCATTGACGAAGCATTTCCCATTGCGTCTTACCAGTATAATCGCCAAATTTTAAATCAAACAAAAAAGAACCAACTAATCATTATCCACAAAGTAATCAACGCCAATCAATCAGAATACATATCATGTAAAGAAAAAAAAAAAAAGATTTTAACGGAAACCAAAAAGTTGAATTTGTTAGGCTTCCAAACGTCAACAGAAGCGAAATCAAATAATTAATCAAATATATAAGAGATAATTAATCAAATATATAAGAAATAATAATTTAATATAGTTCAGTCTAATTAACTTACGTCTACAGATGAGAAATAAAATTTATTAGTTGTAAATAATTACAAACATATATCAAAATATATCAACCACTCAATAATCAATACCCATAAACAATTTCCTCTAATCTTAAGAAATTTTCTCAACCTAAACAAATACATACCCATGTGCACTTTTTCAACACAACCAAACACATACTCGTATAAACTCATGCATCATATTGTCTTCTCTAGTCCATTCACAAACACACGTAATCATATCTATGTGAACCATCTTAATCTTCTCTAATCTATTCATAAACACACGTAAATCTTCAATAATCTTATGAGATGTCTGCTCATAAAATCTTATAATTCTCTTACATTTTTTTTTCATATCCAATTCTATAAAAACTTCATATATTTATAAACATACAAATTTGTCTATTAAAAATCTCTTTCCTTTTAAAATTCTTCAAATTTACCTATTAAGAAATTTTTTTTTAAATTTTTTTTATAAATTTTTTTGTCCATTAAATAATAACTTATCAATCTCAAAAAAATCTGTTATGAAATTTGAATCATTATTTTTAACAGAATTAAAAATGCCCAAGCAATAAATTAAGCTTAATAATATTTCGACCGTCACTATAAAATATACTAGTTTCAGACAAACAAAAGAGAACCCATTAATCATTAGACCAAAATAACCAACACCCATTAATCAGAACCTCAATCACCTTTAAAAAAAAATCCACTTTTCAATGAATTGAAAGAAGTACAAAACTTTGCCATGTTTGGTTCCAGATAAACAGTAGGCAAATAGAAGAAAATCAAAACTTCGCACCCAAAATGCCCATGCAACAGAACTTTGGCCTAATTGACTTGAAAGTGAAATTTTCTTTTCTGTAGAAACAATCCCGCATTGAACAAAAGAATCAATACCCTTATGATGTTTTCTCATCAACCAAACAGAAACCCAACAAAAAAAAGAGAGAAAATAATGGAAGAAGGCCTTGTCAGCATCAAAGCTCTTATAAAAAAAAGGAACAGCAAATCTTTCCGTTTGTACATGGTACAATTCCACGAGGAATTTATGTTCTTTTTTGGGCCCGAAATGCATTGACTTCATATATTCTCTTGTTTTTTCTTTTCTTTCATTTGGCAACTTTTTTATATTGATTGAATATCCAATTTTAAAATAAGTAAATATTAATTGTTTATTTTATGGGTTTTATTCTTATACGATGCTTGTAATTACACTTTATGTAAGCTTTGCATTGGAATTTTTGTTTTTACAATTTCAATTTGATTTTTGAATGAAATCTTTTACGATTTTTTTTTCATTCATTACAAGTAATCACAAATGAATTTAAGTTGATAATATGCAAAGATTTTATTATTTGATTTATCACTATTTCAAAATGATTTTATATTTGAATTTTATTTTATTCATTTTTATTCTCCAATCTAATTTAATACTTGTAATGACATATGAAGTATGAACCATAGTAAATTAATATATATATATATATATTGGACCATAAAAAAAATTATCATTTGTTTTTCATAATATCAAAAGGGTTTGGTTAACGCATTATCTTAAGAAAAATTTTTACATTTAATACATAATTTTTATTAAATTAAAAAAGTATTAATTGTATTTTTCTTAAATATAACCTTAATTAGTGTCACTCGACACATTAATGGCTTTTGGTCAATATGATTTTTTCCAAAACGATAAAGAGCCAAAGACTTTAATTTTTAGCCAAAAAACCAAAGTCCTTAATCTCAGGATGCCTTCCGAAAACAAAAAGGAAAGAAAAGTAAGGTCGCTTATTGTGGTTTGTGGATTCAGAGGTTGGCCCAAGAGCTAATTATCGGTTAACAACTAACATGATTGTCTTACAACCATAGTTGGGCCCAAAACAATTATAGAACAAAATTAAACCTATAGAATAGCCCACAACATTTTGCCGATGAAGAAGCTCTCAATTATATATGTTATAAATAAATAAATAAAATCCTGAAGAAGCAAATAAGATATTTTTGGCCAAGTGTTAGGGTTAAAATTTATATGATGAAAGGATTAGAATGCCTTATGTGACAAGAAAACAAATACCAATACTAAACCTTTCACAGGTTATAAAATTCTTTAAAAAAATAGACAAATAAATTGTACATCTATGTATATATAATAATTTATTGTAATTTTAGGCTAAAAAATAAATTAAATAGTAAAAAGGAATTTTTGATTAAATTTTGGTTGCTGAACAAGGGAACTATTTCCAGAAAGATGTTTTTATTGGAGTTAGATAATATAAAAAAGTTACTATAACTTTGAATTTTCTCACGCCGAGAGAATAATTTTGGAGAACCAAGAGAGGTCAAAATCAGGAGCTAGCAATGAGAGAAACCTGTTATATTAATTTCCACACATACTAATATCTTGTCAATTTATTTAGTGAAGATTATGACTTCTTAATTCAACTGATGGATATAAACCAGAATCATCCAAACAAGGCCTGTCAATATGAACATACAAAGCTACCTTGGAAAGCAAAACATGTTTATTTAATTCTATTTTATTACAACAGTTACGAAGATTAGGCTTGCTTGGTATTCCAACAGGGAAACTTTAGAATTCATACACTGGTTATGGTTGTGTTATGAACTGAGAGATTGAATTCATAACAAGTGATATAAAGATCAGAAGATAATAATAATAAAGGTTAATATCATGAATAGTTTCTAAACATGTTTTTGGAGAAGACCCATTTAACTAAAGTGCAGTCTGATGGAACTAGAAAATTTCAAGATCTCAATGACAACAATTTCTAATTTGGTGATCACTTTCCATCTATACCTGGAACTTAGGTTAAGCAAGTTTGATATCAAATGATATTTACGAGAAGGGAAAGTGAAAATAAGAGTTTATTAAGGAAAACTCAATCTTCATTCTGAGTAATAATCAACCGACAACCGTTTGATTTTGCAATGATCTAATAATACATCCTGTTTTGTTTTTTGAAATTGATGAAGACATCCAGGGAGGGTCACTGTCACGCAGACAGATACCATTCATATGTTTCAATCCATGTCCAAGGACGAATCATTTTTATTGTTCCAATCACATGGTACTCTGGTTCTTAGCCCAGTCAGATTCCAATTTCACCTGGTCTTTTTCTTGTGTCTAGTTGGATCAATAATCCAAATCCAACTACATCATTACTTACGTACCTTTACATTTTCTCTTGTCATTAATTGATGCACAAAAATATCTTCCATCCCTGCCCAATCAGGTTGTGTAACAGCTTCAGCTTTGTTACCAAGCCGAGTAGCCTAATAGCAGCATGCAGCTGATACCAAGCTTGATTTTGTTTAGCTCGTAGAGAAGAAATAAAAAGCTGAAAGGAGTAATGTTAAAACGAAACCAACAAAAATATCCAACGCAATTCAACCAAAAGATTTCGAGTGTTCATGCAAGAGGAAATGCAGTCAATTCGCAGAAAGGACCAGGGATGATAAAATCGGCCTCCATGAGATATGAATTTTCCATTTGTTATTATTGCTATTTTACAAAAAGAATCATAATCTAAGAATATTGAAAGAGTTCGGATTAAAATTTAAATTTTAAATTTATTAAATATTATTTTTTAAGATGATTCATAATTGCATAATGATTAGATGATTACTATAAAGAAGGTATTTAATTTATGAAATTTTAAATTTTAAGAAAAAATATGATCTTAAAAAAATGGGATATCTAATTTTTTTTTATTTTAAAGATATTTTACATTCAGAATCATTCAGTTAATCGAAAAATTTCATGTATATTAATTTATGTATAATTATTATAATTTTTTTTACATATATAATAATAACTTTTCATTTTATTTTATTAATAATAAATATCAAATGACAAATGATGTATTTAATAACAAAAGAAAACAAATATTTTATTTGATTGCTATTTTTATTTATAAAATATTATCAATTAAGGTATTTGATATTTTTTTGAGTAACAAAAATTGATAGAGAAAATTATTAAAAAAAAATCAATTAATACATGTCCCACTTTTTTTATATCATAGAAAAATTTAAAAATATTTCTTTAATTAATTTATAAAAGGATCATTTAACACGTTTTTTAATAAACTTATTATTTTTTATAAAATGATTATTTAAAGTATTTTTTTATATTATGGATCATTTAATAATTATCTTTTAATTTATAAATAATTATTTAAGGTATTTTTGAACCAAAAATACCTTAAATAATATTTTTATAAAAATATTAACCTTAAACTTTAAATTCTAAAATATAAAAAAATTATTTAAGATACAAAAATACTTTAAATAATTCTTTTATAAAAATATTAATCATAAAACCTAAAATATAAAAAATTATTTAATACATTTTATACAGAAAATAACTTAAATAATACTTTTATAAAAATATTAAAAAAATATTTAAAACGTTTTTTATATAAAATCACCTTAAATAATTTTTTTATAAAAATATTAATCTTAAACCCTAAATGATAAAAAGATTATTTAATATGATTTTTTATCAAATGTTCAATATAAAAAATTATTTTTTCTCTACAAAACTTATAACTAAGTTTCAGTTTTTTTTATTTATGTTTTTCAAAAGATTAAAGATTATTTCATCATTTTTTGTTATTCAGATCAAATTTAAAAATAAATTTTTTTAAAAAAATTTTAAAATATTACAAAAAAAGATAAATTTTTTATTCTAATACTTTAAGTGTTATCAAGAATCTAACATTTTTTTTCGATAATCGAATTATCCTAACTAAACATGATAATCAAATATCCTTCGTTAAAATTCGGAAAAAAAAATGTTGATTCTACAAAATTAAACACAGCCAAGATTTCAACTGTGATTAAGAGTCAAGTTTTTGTCGTAACTCAACTTGTAGCTTAATGCCTGCCTATACAAGGCTCAGGCTTGATTTGAGGCTATCGAAGTCAAGCTCAAACAGCCCTGCTGTCAGTTCTCGGCTCTGCTAACATGCTCTAAGCCTCTAACTGTACTGCTGTGAGCCCCATGATATGGCACCATCAACTTCCCTTTCACCTTTGCCTTCAATGGATGGATTGTCCCACTCCTCACAAGCAGTCAAAGAGTCCGAACATCCGCTTATAGTGCACTCGCACAGATAAACTTAAATGCACTATTAAACACAAATAATTTCCCTGTAATCCTTACTTTCGGAGCTCTTTACTCTGCTGTCAACATGGCCAGCGCTTCAGTTATCCCAGCTGATGTTCTGCTGTCAAGGCGTGTCCAAGAAATGGTCATCAACGGTCAAGAACCCGAATCACTGTACATTTGTAGAGATGAAGAGGAAGCTAAAAATGTTCCATCCCCATTAGCTCCAATTCCCATTATCGACCTGAGTTTGTTCTCATCATCAACCTTAAGCGCCACAAGAGAAGAAGAATTGCAGAAGCTAAAATCGGCACTCTGTTGTTGGGGGTGCTTTCAGGTTTGGACTTTAATCTCACCAAAGAAATGAAAAACATAAGTTCTGACATTATTACTGCTGCCAATATCCTTTATTATCCTGATTTTAAACCAAGATTGAGAACAGTCTTAATTCTTAAAAAATAGGATCTAGTAACTAATAATCCCTATCCTCCAAACTCATCAGTCATCAGGATTGTTACATACAGACGGAAGTAATTCTTTTGGGTAATACGTAGTATTCTAAATTCTAAAAATTCAATCTAAATTGGGGCCGTTCTTCCCTAGAAATCGAATTAATCCGAATCAAATCTTATCCTATTAAATCAATCTACAAGTAAATTCCAGATATATAGATAGAATGAGATGGATGTACTGTTTCACTCGCTCCTGTGCAATAATTGTTTGGCTTGAGATGATTATGTACTCCTTGTAGCATTTAAAACCTATCCATCATTAGAACAAAGCTTTTTTTATTTTTTTTTCTGGATTTTCAGGCAATACGTCATGAGATACCAAGTTCATTCCTGAACAAAATTCGCCAAGTCACTAGGGAATTTTTCGAACAGCCAATGGAAGAGAAGAAGAAGTACAGCAAAGGAGTTAGAGAGGTGGAAGGATATGGAGGTGACCCTACTCCTGAAGAAGGTCAGTTCCTTGACTGGCAAGATCGCTTGTTTCTTACCGTATACCCGGAAGATTTAAGTGACACCAAATTTTGGCCGGAAAGCCCCAAATCATTCAGGTAGGTTGACTTGGCCCCTTTTATCCATCAGTTGTTTTCTACAACATATCCGTTTACTTGAGCTTTACAATCTGTTTACAATTCACGTCAACAACAGGCATGCTTCATAATTCTGAAAACGTGTCACTAACTCACAATTTTTCAGGTTAGTTTTAGAAAATTTCACTTCTATGATGAGAACGGTGACAGAGGTTGTTTCCAAATCCATGGCTAAGTCATTGAAATTGGAGGAAAATTGTTTCCTGAATCAATTTGGTGAACGAGCAGCACTGCAGGCGAGGTTCAACTACTACCCGTGTTGTGAAAGGCCTGAAATCGTTCTTGGATTAAAACCCCACGCGGATGGCACAGGATACACCCTCATCTTGCAAGATGATGTTGAAGGCCTTCAAGTCCTCCAAGGAGAGCAATGGTTTACAGTCCCCACAATACCTGATGCACTACTAATCCTCATGGGTGATCAAATGGAGGTATGCATAATTACTTTTATATAATCAAAGTTCACGCACATTAGCGTATGAAATTAAAAAGTTCTAGAGGATTTCATTAGCAGGCTGTTATAGGCATAGCCAGGTTAGCTTGAAGCATCTCATCTGACATTCGCACAAGAAATTTGTACCAGGTGCTAAATGCATGCATATGTTGTACTTCTAAATGCAGACAACCTAATAACATAATTTGAAAACACTAATTGTTTTAATTTGCTAGCATAGTTCTTTCATAGAAGAGGGAACTGATTTTTTTTTTTATATTGTTCACACATTGAACTGTAACATTTAACTTATAAAAGCAATGTAAATGGTCATGTTTTATGATCACCCTGCATGATGCTAGCAGATAATGACAAATGGGGTGTTTAAGAGTCCAGTGCATAGGGTAGTAAGCAATAGGGAGAAGGAGAGAACGTCTGTTGCAGTTTTCTACACACCAGAAAAACACAAAGAGATAGGACCAGAAGATGGTTTGGTGAATGAGGAAAGACCAAGGCTATTCAAGAAGATAAAAGATTATGACATCACACATTGGGAGTACTACCAAAGAGGAATGAGAGCTCTTCATATAGCAGAAATTTAAATGTGTGCTCGGGTGTCTCATGCTGCTTAGTTTGCTTTACTAAGTGCACTTGATGCTTATTATTGGTTTGTATAAAGTGCTTAAATATTTCGTAATGTATAAAAATAAAGCACTTGCAATTTATTCCATTTAGCACTGTTGTTACTCAAATTGGTGTCAATATCAGTGTTTGCATCTTCTTTCTTTCTGATATTTTTCTCTGGAATAAGAATTTATTGGCATTAGCATTTTTGGGTATTGGCTTCTAGCATACTAGCTCAAGAAAATACCATATCTAAGCTTCTTTTCCTCAGAAGAATAAACATTAGTAGTGGTTATCCAACTCCAACAATTCTAGACTTACACTTTTGAAGTCAATTCCCTACAACTACCCTTGAAAGTAATGGTTCCACAACTTAAATCATAAAACTCAGTGCAGGGAACACATAGGAGGAAATACCCTCTCTCTTGTTTTGGGAACAGAACCAAGTAAAATTGATATGCTTATAAGGCCCCTGCCAAACGGTGCAGAACTTTTTAAAGAATTTCAAATATCTTGCTCAAGCCATTTTCTATCTCATACCTTGGGTGGTAAAAGCTCAAATCTTTTACATCCCAGTTGGCATTATCCCTGTAAGCCTATAATTTCTTGTCCTAGATGCCTAAAAGTTAAAACCTAAGATGAACAATATGCAACCATTAACCACTATCCTATGATTCCAAGCCAACACTTCCATAATCAGGCCACAAGATATCAATTCCAATCAACGACTCAAAACAGCAGGAGTTCACTTGTTCAGCTTGGTCATAGCATAACATATGTTGCAAAAACAATAGACAGTTTCTCCACAATAAACAACAAATGTCATTATAAACACCATGATTTACCAATGAAACTCCCAATCATAAACCATCTTGTTGCATAGGTTGACAAAGATTATAACGTGCTACTAAAGCAACAATTAGGCAAAGAGAAATTTTATATGCCATCTTTTGACCATTTCTGGCATGAACTAGTGCATTGCCATAACTCATTCGTAGGATAGGTAATAGATAGCTAATTTAACTAACTAGATCACTTAATACATATGACGGCTCTGTTATTCTACAACTAGGACCAAACTAATAGCAAAACCATCACAAAATGTTTGCACCATCCATTCATCTCCAAACCATTTGTCTTAAAAATAAAACATAAATAACTGGAAGCAAATCCCAAAATACTTAGGGAGAACAAACCCTAACTTCTTTGCAGAATTAGTTCTTAACCTTGAATCTAATCAATCACTACATCCAGGTCTAAGAGGCAACTAGTTAATTCCATTTATGACTAAAAAGTTACAGCAGTTAATCATTGACAAATAGCAATAAACTCTCATTTCATAGAAAATAGAACAAGTCTGTTTAAGAGCCATCTACTTTTACATTACATTGTCCAAAGGAGGTTCAATCTTATCCCCATGAATTGAAGCCCCATTACTTTAATTATTAGGCTTCAAAATCTCAACGCCCATCAAAGACTCAACACAAAAGCTCTTACTCGTTTAGCTTGGTCATAGAATGACTATTTTCCAAAAGAATACAGAGTTTCTTCCAATCTAAAGACAAATCTCATTGGAACTGCCATGAATTTGCCAATGCACTTGCCATTCCTAAAACATTCTCTTGGATAGGTTGACAAACAGTAGAACTTATTATGGAAGGAACAAAATTATATACAATCCTAGGCCACTTTCTGGCATTAACTAGTAGTAAGTCAAAACTCTTCGCATAGATCTAATCTGGCTAAACGGGTCACTTAATACATAGGACAGTCTACTATTCTGCAATTAGGATCAAATGCAGCAGCACCATAAAATTCTGATCCAGCCATTCACCTCCAAAACCTTTTAAGGAAACAATAAACAATTAACAGAAAACAAGCCCCCATTTGTTTGCTGAGTTAGCAACTTCTTCACCAAAAGTCAAACTCAGTCATTTAGTCAAGGTTTAAGCAGCAATAATAACTAAGCTAATTCCATTAACAATTAAAAGAAAAAAAGAATACAAAGCTAACATCTTGACAAATATAGGAAACAGAACAACTCTGTTTTTTACTCCTTTTTTAAGATCCATCTTGTCTAACATTATCCAAAGGAGGTTCAATTAGACTTCCATTGCCAAGCAACTTCTGAGCCAACCTTCTATCTCTCTCCTTCTGTTTATCCCCAAACAACTGCTTCCCATAAACCTGATGTAGCCTCCCAAACAACAACTTCTTGATTGACTCAAATGCCATATCCAATCTTTCCAATTGCTCCATAGCATTCTGGTTATACATAAACAACCCATAATACAAATCAAAGCTATCCCCTTTAGTATTCTCCACCAAATTCAACAACGTCTCATATCCTTTGGTATTAATAGGCGAAGACTCCAACCCAAACTTCTCCAACACTCTCCCCATCGTATGAGTCACGAACTGAGACCCTGCCGCGTACTTATCATGCTCCATGCAACTCATCTCCACCATTCTACACCCTTCTTTTTCAAAAATACGCAAGAACTTCTCACATCTCTTTACCCTACTCTCTTCATTTCCAATCCTCACTTTGTCGTAAACAAAAGGAAGCCCCGCCCAGGTGTTTTTACCACTTTCAGGTCCGAACATGGGATGGGTACATAAGATATCGAAGTCTGAAGGTAAGTACTTTAAGAAAAGGTTTCTGGGGAACTCTTTAACCGAAAGTACGTCAACGAAAAGAGTGTTTCGACGCAGTCTTTGAAAGGGTAGTTGTTGAAGTAGAGTTTCAGTTGAAAGGATGGAAGTGGAGAGAAGGACGACGTCAGGGTGTTGCTCGAAAAGGTCGTTTGGGTCGGAGTAGAAGGAGACTCCGAGTTGGTTAGCGACGTCGGTGTAATCTGTTCTTGAGTGAGCGAGGAGAGTGTGGTGGTGACGACGGAAGGTCTTGGAGAGAAACTGGCCGAAGTTGCCGAAGCCTACTATGGCTATCTTGAGGGAAGTTGATTGGATGTAACGGTTTTTGAGGTGGGATTCGTAGTCAAAAGGTTGAGCTGCGTCGATGCAGTTGATTTGGAAGGAAGGGAAGTTGGGGCATTTGGAAGGACCTGGGACTGGGAGGATAGGGAGAGGAAGAGAGAGGGAAATTGAGTGGGAGAAGGAGAGGAAAGGGTGGGATGGGGGATTGATAGGTCTTGTGACAGAGAATAGCAGCATTGTTCAAATTTGGAATTTGATTTTCCAAAGATTTTTAAAGTGGCAATTTTGAGAGATCTTTTATACTAATTGAAAAAAAGAGCGAAAACATTCAAAGACTATAAGTTTAGAGGGTTGGGTTGCATCACTTTTGATTTTTCTTCTGCAATTGATCAAATCTTGAAAAATGTTGTCAATTTTGCACCCATTTCCGCCATGGACTGATTGATTTCAAGTGATTTTGCTTTAGAATTGGGAATTGAAGATGAGGGTACTGGTGTTTCCAGGCTTAAGTGAATTTACATTCAAGTTGGAAATTTGGTCCCTTAGGTTTTTCTTTTTTAATTATATCAGAAAATAAAATTTTAATATAAATAAAAAAAATTTTGATTCAAAATTAAATTTTTAATAACTCCTCAAACATATTTAATTACTAAACTAAAAGGTTGAGAACGGTCCTATGCGCTTTTGCATCTTTTTGTTTCGTTCTCAAGTAATCAACAATAGAAATTATTACTAGTACTAGTAGTAGAGATACACGCTAGCAAGTAGCGAATAGGGTTGAAAATGTATTGTTATTCTTCAACGACTCAGCTGCCCGTATTATTACTCTGCCAAAGTTTCTGACTGACAGTGACACATGGCTTCGAGGCATGTGCGGTATTGCTTGTTTTAGATTGCTTTGATGCATTTCGTCCGTAACGATAACTACGTACTAGTAAATTGTAGTAGTACTCGTAGTCCTACCTTACACTACAATTTACATGACATCAAGAAGATAAGGTGGAGCGACCTTTTAAGTATTTCCCCCACTCTCAAGGGCCCTCCGCCCCAATATTAAAGTAGCTGAGGGCCTTTTTTTATTAGTTTGAATTTTTTTTTCAAATAAAAATTTAAAGTAATTTTATGAATTTTATTCATAATCTCTTTGTGTTATTCTTTAGCAAAAATATATTCTTTTTACAAATGTTATATATGAGTGAAGATAAATAAAATAAAATTAATATTAATCAAATTACTATTCTTTAACTTTTTTTTGTATTTTAATATTAAATCATTAAAACAATTAAAAATAATAATAATTTTTAAAAATACCATATGTCCGAATCATAGCTATCTACATGAATACTTTACGATGCATCCATATAGTTAACCTTTGAATAAGTTATTATAAAATTTTCGGTGAATACTCTACAATCAAGGAGTCAATGATCCCTTGATCTCACCTAATATTGATTGAGTAGAGTTGGGTTTTGAGATAGATATTAAGAGAATTTATTTAAATATAATAAAATTATAAAATTTTATTTTAAAAAATACTTCAAATTTTTTTAATATTTTATTTTTCATAGCTATATGCAGGGTCTCATGATGTGATTTTTTTTAAGAGATTAAAATCAACTCTTTGAACAAATAAAATATGCATTAATATTGAACCAAATGTAAAGATATTTAAATTTATTTTTTCTTTTAAATGCAAGAGAAAGTTCAAGAAAGTAACACTGTATGAATCGTGAAATGTAATCCTTCTAAAAAAAAAACCTATCACTATTAAGCCTTTTTTTTTTTGATAAGTTGTATTTTATTTATACAAATGAGCAATAAATTGCTACAATACATATATTCCATATATACAATCAAATCATATTCTTACTATTATGCAATATAGTTTTATTTATATTTTAAGCATCACACAAAATCTTATTGATTGAGTCAGCAGCAATTGAATGTAATTCATGTAATTGAATCCTGACAACTTCCTTAATCTATTTATATACCTGTTCTTCTGTTCTTTTTTTATTCTTGAATAATTTACAGTTCTTTTTCTTCATATATGGTGTATATGAGCATTCCAAGCAATGCGTAATACTATTGATATCAATGCCTTGCCTTAATCCTTTTCATTGCTAATTTCAATTCTTCGGGCCACTCTCCTACTATTTTGTCAATCCTGCATGATTTTAATATCATTCTCCACACCATTTTTGCATATTCATAACCAAAAAATAAGTAGTCCCTAGATTCCTTCCATGTTGACATAGGCAACACCTTTCATCCATCTCCATTCTCTAATTCCTCAATCTATCTTTTGCTAAAAGCCTATTTAGTATAATCTTTCATACAATCATTAAGTGTTTTAGGATATGATACTGAAATCAAATGAGTTATTGACATTTAACCTTTTTTTTGCTTAAACCTTATCTCATTCCAAACCGTTGCAATAGAATAGCCATCGCTAAAGACAGGCCGCACCTTAATGCTATTTTTCTGTTTGATGAATTGGCGTGCGATAGTGTGGAGTTGAAGTAGTTTCCTTAAGCCCCAATTGTTACCCTACTGTAGTGCAACTTGCCATCTACTTCTGCCTTTCAAGATATAGGCTTCAAGTTGAGCTATCCATATAGATCTTACTTTTGAGAAAATAGACCAACTATTTCTCATTATGCATGCTTTGTTCCAAGTTACGGTGTCTTTGATACTTTACCCTCCTTCAGAAGGTGGCAAATGGCTTTCCAATTGACTTTAGCTCTTTTGGCAGTCTTTTTTTGGCCTTTCCAAATGAAGGTAGAGCATAGCTGATTGATCTTTTTTAACACATGCTTAGGTAATATAAAGTGTCTACACCAATAATTGTATAAGTTGAAGAATATTGACTGGATTAGTTGTAGTATTCCAACATAAGATAAGTGCTTACTAGTCCATCTTTAATCCTAACTGTGATCCTTTCAAGCAATAAAGCATAATTTTTTGTAGTGAACCTTCTGGTGACTAGTGGGACTCCTAAGTATTGGACAGAGAGTAAGCTTACTTTGAATCATGTGACTTGTTGAATTGATTAAATCTCTTCCCTACCTATTCCTGTGGCATATATCTTACTTTATTTGCAATTAAGTTGTAACCTTGAGAATAAGTAGAAAGGTTGCATAACTTTCTTGACACCAATGATTAAATCCTTGTTTACATTTTAAGAAAATCAACAAATCATCCGCAAAACATAAATGTGTCAGCTTGATCTTCTTGTACCTAGGATGATAGGTAAACACTCCAAACTTGATAGTTTCATCTAGCATTCTTGACCGCACATTCATTGTTACAACAAATAGATATGTGGAAAATGGATCCTCTTTTCTTATTCCTCTGGCTCCTTGAAAATAGCCCACTAGCCCTTCAATAAGTATATAGAAAACATTGGGGTTGTATTACAGTTGTTAATCCAGCCTATAAATTTTGAAGGTAATCTAATGGCTGCCAAAATGTTGTTGATAAAATTCCAATCCAATGTATCAAAGCCTTTTGCAAATCAATTTTTATAGCACACTTTGAGGATAATGTGATTATACCATACCACATTACCATCTCATGTGCCATAAGCACATTCTCTATGATGCTTCTTCCCTTTTATGAAAGCACTTTGACTTTTGCTTATGATATTTGGCAGGATATTTTTAAGCTATTTGCCAAAATCCTGATAATGCACTTATAGATGATAGTACAACATGATATGGACCTGTAATCTCTAATCCTACTTGGATTTACACACTTTCAAACTAGTGTAATAATGATTGAGTTAAATGCAAAAAGCATTTGCCCAGTTTGAAAGAAGTGGAATATAGCATTTGTAACATCTTTACCAACAATAGACCAAGATTGCTTGAATGTATTCGTCTGGACCAGGAGCTTTGTCACTATTCATAAAAAAAACATAACAGTTTTGATCTCTTCTTTCAGCAGTGGCCTTATGAGTGCATCTTGATCTTCAGAAGATATTGAAACATGAAAAAATTCAATAAAAATTTTTTGTGAACAAACTTTAACTTCCTTATCTGGTGTACCAATCATTTTTGGAAGAATGATACTACTTCCATGGAAATTTGCAAAAATTTTTCTAATTTGTTCCATTCAACATCAACAAGTACTCTTATTATGCTTTTTTTTTTTTTGTTTAGCTGCAACCATTTTGTGAAATAATCTTGTGTTTTGGTCTCTTCTTGTATCCAAGTTATCCTAGATTTTTACCTATAATAACTCTTCTCAACTTCCATTAACTCCTTCAATTCTGTGGATAAGGTACTTTCGAATTTAATCATTTCAATGCTTGGAATAGTTGTTAATATTTTTATCTATACAGCCTTCAGCTCTTTTTTTTTTTTTATCGCACCTTTACTGTTTCATCCCCTTAGTGCAAGTTGTTGTACTTTCTTAACTCTAGCTTCAATCTTTTTAATTTCTTGTGCAATTTAAACAATGGGTTTCCTGTCACTGACAGCTTTCAAGAATTTTCAACTATATTCTTAAACTCTTGATTCCTAACCCAGAAATTAAAAAACTTAAATGGTTTGAAAGGGAAATACCAAGGCATATTAAGTTTTATTAGTGCAGCACAATGGTATGATATCAAGCCAATTTTGTATTCTTATAAACTATAGATTGATTGGCTTTCTGAACATGATTTTTTTTTATTTTAATTGATTGATTAAGTTTATTAATAATATGCATAATATAATTGTAAACTTTTATATATTAACTAGGTTATATTCCGCATGTTGCTGCGCATCGATTTTAATATATATAAATATATATAATATTTATATTATTTCATAAATATATTAATATTAAATTATATTAAATATTAAATATATTTATTCAATTTAACTTTGATTCATAATTAATTAATAATAAATAGAAATAAGACTCAAAATTTAAATAATACGAAAGATAAGTATATTTTATCAATGATTAATTGAGTTTATAAATATTATAGATTCATAAATATCTAAATTTATAAATAATCAAAATGCATTCATTCATAAAGAATAACATCTAAATAGTACTTATACGACAGCATTCACGTGATATAATATTAAAAAAATAGATAGAAATATATATGTAAGATTCTATGTTCTAGCAAAATTAGCTAGCATTAGCTTTTTTTTTTTTATTAGGCCAATAGTACACTCTTTAATGGAATTGAGGTCCAAGTTCAAATTTTTGATACATTAGCTAGTACTTGTAATTAGATTCTTGTTGGGCTCAATATTTTCCTCGACCAAAACAGCCCAACAAGGTTAAGTTCGTGAAACCAACAAATGAACAGTGTTTT